AAGCAATCAATTATCGTAATTCTAATTCAATGACAGACGTGCCCAATAGAGAATAGAACATTTATCGGGAAACTTCTATCGGAAGTTCACTAAACTCGAGTACTGCACCGACGTGAGATTGTTAGAGCATAGGGGGGTAAGACGAGATGGGGAGAGAAAAGAAGGGGAGAACTAAAACCGTCTCGACATTGGAAAATGCTTTTGCGGATCGGAGGGAGCAACAGGGACGCATCTCGTAAAAGAAAATCTCTCGCAGAGAGATATCCACATCCCTCGTTTCTTCCCCAGACCTTCTTCCAGCCACATCGCTTCTCTCTCCTCCCTTTATCGATCCTCCTCCAACGAACAGAGCTATCGCTACAGTGCCAAAGCCACCGGCAGCAGCGCCAGAAGCAACAGCAACAGCAGCAGCAGCAGCAGCAGCGCCAGCAGCAATAGCAACAGCAGCAACGGCACCAGCAGCAGCAGCAGTAGCATCAATCAGCATCGCCCATCATCCCTCTCAGTGGCTGCCCGACCTAACTGTTTCGATCGAGTCGGTTCGCGCGGCGCTCCATCACGCATTGCGTCACGCAACCTGGCATCGCACGCTCCTCGCTTCTCTCCCTCTTCCTCGGTGGTGCTCTCTGCTCGGCGGAGAATATACGTTTCTCCGGAAGCGGCCGACGCGCCGGCCGGGCGCGCACGAATCGCGACGTACGGGGGCGCGCGAGCGAGCCGGGGCCGGGGGTTGCACGGAGCGAGCAGTGTGCTCGCAAGGGTTGCCTCGGCTTGCCAGGCACGCCGCCAGTGCAGCCGCCGGTATACCGCCAGGATACGGCGAGGATAGTCCGGCGATGCGTTTGGCCGCGCTGAGCTGAGCTGTGGTGAGCGCGCGCGAGAGGAGGAGAGGGCTCCTTCTTCTTCGCCCTGTTCATCCTGTTCGCGACTTGCCTTGGAGGGGTGAGGAGGACAGGACAACGTAAGTGACGAACGTGGGTTGAAGGCGAGAGCGGGTCGTGTACGCGGCGGGTAACCGCACGTGACGCCAGAGTGAGACGTTCGGATTGTTGTACTCTCGGAGGAGGTGACACGCGTGTCCACGACAGGACAGGATTTCGAGTACGCTCCTCCTCGTGTGCGAGTTTCATTCGCGATGCACTCGCCACGCTGATGATCGATGAAGGCGGACGACACGCGATGGTCGATTCCCGCGGACGTGTAGTACGCATCGTCTTGGCGGGAACGATGACAGGTGACGAGAGAGACATAGCTCTCCTTTGCGCTTCGTCGCCTCGTCGCGACGTTATACGTCGGCGACGTAGCACCTGCTGTCAGAATGAATGAAATTCAGCCAGATTTCGACAGGCGAGCGGTGGAAACGATGCGTCTTGCGCGTTCCTAATGACAACGTGATTATGAAATTACGAAAGACAGATACACGCGTGATTTTACGAAGGGATTTATGAGGAAAATCTCGATGCAAAACACGTAGCAGGACACAAGGAATGATGGTTCGCCGCAATCGACGGAAAAACTGATCGTATAATTTTCGACAAGAGTATCCCATTGCGTTTGTGATTGATGCTTCTTCCGGTCCGTGCGACAAACAGCGACGTATGACAACAACTTTGCAGTTAAACGCTAAGAACATAGTTTTTCTCGTTCTCTACAAACTCAACGATCATTATTTAACGTCGAGTAAATCTCATGTACTATACATGGAAAAAATATAAAAAAATTCTTGTGTACTCATGAAACACAGTTTCTACAATACTTGTGAGTAAACCAACATTGGCGTGGGTTTGTTTAACGTAATCAATACTTATTCGACTTTTTAATTCGAGAGACGCCGAGAAAAATATATTATATTTCATCCCCATCGTCTTTACCTTACGCAGACTCTCGACTAGGGCTTATGTCTGTTCGTCAAACGTTGACCGATGGTGCGGCTAGAGCTGATGTTCGCCGCGTTGTTATACTTTTTCATCGAGCAATGCGGAGACAAAAAAAGAGCGGCCAAGATCGATTCTAATAGCGTGGCGAGTCAATCGAACCGAGACTTGACAGAACATAAAAATAGCGGACGCGGAACGTGTGTACTTGGCCGTAGAAATATCGTCAACGATGTTATCCCGCAATGTTGGGTTGTCCTTGCTCGTGCGACCGCCGTCAACGCTGTGTCAAGGCAAACTGCATACGTATGTATGCGACATCAGATCGGCCCGATAATATTCGCGCTCTAACAACGTAGTTGTTTGAACACCGTTTCATCGTTCCTCATATCTGCCCTCGCTCCCCTCGTTGTCCTCGCTTTCACGGGGGGGTGCGGCTGACACGTATTTTCGTCCGAATTTCCGGATATTAAAGGTACCCTTCCGGATTGTCTCTCCAAACCAACCGATAACCCACGTAACGACATCGATTTCAACTGAGATTCGCATCTTATCGTGGCTAGCTTCCCTGGAAAAAGTAACAGCACGCTAATGATATCGATAACCGTATAATGTTAATCTTGTAAACGAGTATAATACCTCATGCGACGGCTTTAATTACATCGACTATTGTGCAAATTAGCTTAGTATCAGTTGCACGTGTCATTTGGCCGTGATGATCGAAGCTCTCTCCTTCCTTGTCCTCCTTTCCCTTCCTGTCTCCCTCTTCCGATGGGAAAACATTTCGCTCCATGATTACCTGCGAAAGGAAATCTGTAAAAAGCTGGCAGCATCGACCTTGTCCTTTGCGAAATTACTCGTGTCGTACATCGTCGTGAAATCCCTCAGGTCATGTATGTTTTCGCGGCGCCGAGTGCGAAGTGCAAAACAACGATGAGTCGATATATCGATTCATTTCCGATAATATATTACCTCCCATGGCGATAACGCGTATGCGCGCGTTACACGTACGTATCTCGATGATTCCCCTCGTATCTCGACGGTATCGAGTTTTTCGCGCGAATTTCACGCAAATTGTCGCGGCGGAGTTGGAGAACACGCGAGAAAAAAAAAGTACGTCCTCGTAACGTTCGGCAACGATGACATATCGATCGTTGCACGCGCCTATCGCCAGAAATAACTGCAATCACTTTTAACAGGCGAACGCAATTTTAACGTAGGCATACCAGGCTGTCGACGAGTTTCCAACACGATAAACAATTTCAGAAAACCTATCTTGAAAAAAAAAAAAGGAAAGAATGAGAAGGAGGAAAAATGATAATTATTATAATCCTGATTCCCACAAGGCAATCTTTTTCTGAAAATACAACTCGCTATTTCGTCCGAGGAGTGGATGTACTTGTAACTCGAAATTACAAAGATTCCATAAAATAAACAGAACTTGAGCCTTGATACCAATCGTGCAAACTGCGCGCACGCTCACGGACACGGCTGAAAATTGTCTCGATGAAATATTTGCATACGCTGATGGGTAAAGGCAGATAAATAGACGTGATCGATGCATTATTTATTCTGCATGTTTTCGCGGTCGGTCTTGCGGATCATTGATTAATCTGTCGCGGTATAAAAACTGCGTATTCGCAAATATGACTTGCTGTTATCGTTGCTCTTATCGTCTCTTATCGTCGCGACTGCGTTCGGGAGATCATCGACGACGAAGCAATGTCGAGAGCGCGTGTACCATCGACCAACGTGCACTACGTCTACCTACAAAGTGCAACGAAGCAGGGTATACGACCTGACTCTGGACGACGACGATATAGAGCGAGCTGTGCGTGTATTTCTAGAGCAGCCGGTTTAAGAATAGAACGGCAAGTAGACGACTGGATTAAATATAGACGGTGAACGACCGGCAAGTAGATTACGAAATTTCATTGAAGTCACGAAGATTCGTAGACGCGATATCTCGATATCACCGATGTATAAGATCGTTAAGTGAACTTCTTAGTGATACCGAGTGAATCGTGGATTCTTTATCCGTCAGACCTCAAAAAGATCGATACGACTTTGATTCCCAGCAGGAAATATTTTAGATGCTTCACACGATGGTAATTGCAGTTTTAATCGCATCGAGCCAATCTAGCATGATTGATGAACGCGATATATATTCATAATCTGTAAACTTTGAGCAGATTTACTCGCGATTATTAATCGAGAGCTTTAAAACTGGATTCAGAGGAGGATGCTTCATCTCTTGATGATTCTTGCAAAATTCAAAGGAAATGTCCAAAATATCTGCAAAATGTCTGGTCCTATCTGTTCTTCTCGTGTTGCTCTACATCATACAAATATAAAAACCTTGCAAGAGATCGCGGAAATAATCCCGACAGCTGCGAGATTAAAGCCGCGAGATTAGAGGATAAATATGGACCTGAAAACCATTCTTTCTCAGATGTCATAGCGCGATATTAGGGAGGATTATAAATATCTAAAAATGAGGAAGAGGAGGAGAGATAAGAGGCGAGAGGAATTGTCTGGAATACGAGATGACTAAAACCGATGCGCGAATTCAGTCTCGGCGCAACGACTCGGTAAAAAAAAACGGATTTGATGGGAAACCAATAATCAATATCTGATTTTTTTGTCGACCTAAAATTCTCCATTCGTTCGAAGCCGACGAACTGAAACTGAAGTCCCATGCCGCTCGTCGTTCGATTGCTGCCGCACGAATTGATGCCTTGAGATTTATCTGAAAAGAGTATGAATGAAAAAAACGCGTATCATACATATTAAGCAGAAAATACAGAAAGTTGACGGTAATCGACCAGATGCTTTCCGTTTGCTGTATGTTCTTGTAATGAGCGGAATAGCTACCGTAGCGGTCCGATATCCTCAATAAGCTTCTCAATGCACCGGAACGAGTACATTGTTCGCAGTAATGTGCCGTATTGGTCATTAGATTCCTTGTTTAGTAATTTAAAGAGAGACGAGGAGAGGGAGAAATATTCGAATATCTTTTTCGAAGATATTTTTCTGGAATATTTCTCTTTCTCGCGCGCAAGTTTTTATCTATAATTTATAAAAAAGATTGACGTAAATATAAGATCTCTCGAACCTACCTTGCAGAAGGATGCCAGCAGCCGGTGCGGCCGTGCCGGCCGTCGTCGAGGGAGCCGGTCAACTGGAGGACCTGGACGAGCCACCGGAGCCACGTGCTCGCGGTGGTGGCGGACGGACCGGCCTGATGAAACCCCTGGTGGTGTTGGCCCTACCCGGGATGTACCTCTTCTACAAGTACAGCCAGTACAGGCGGGAGCAACGCGAGCTCTCCCGCAGAAGAGTCACCGAAAGGGAGCTGCAACATCTTCATCATAAAATCGTGAGTGAATTTCTCTAGTTGTGTATGTTTACCTGCCCGGAGCGTTTGCCTGTCGGCAGGTCAAGGAACTTGCGCACGAGATGGGTCTCTTGCGATCCCACCTGTTGTATTACGTCATCGGTCCGAGTCTATTTTTAGTCGCGAAGTGCGGAGTGAGATAATAACTTGATTGCAAGCGAACACGGTTGTGCAACAATTTATTTATGCTGACTTTGCTGCTCGATCGTATTATTTTTACATCGAAGCGACAAAAATACGAAATCGCAGATTGAGCAAAAGAGGAAAGCCGAGGGTTGGAAATAAATATGATGTATTATGGCTATTGGCCCGGAGAGAGATTTATTATACGTATATTCCGCCGATATTGATCCGTGACGTGATCAACAACGAGTTCAGGAAAAAAAATCATTTTACCCTTTCTAATCAAAGGGTTGACGACGTACGTCGTTTATCGTTTTTATCGGAGGTTCGTCAACGGGATGATGAGATTGCGTAGCTTGTTTCTATATCGTTTAAGACTGTGATAACGAGAGAATGAGAAAGGATTGAAGAGGGAGAGAGGGAGAACGGTGAAAGGGCTCGATTTTCTAGAGGGAAGGGAAAAACGTGATCATCCCCCGTTGGTGGAGAGAAAGCTGTATCGTCTTCTAAAGGCTACAACCACTTGCTTTTATATCGTCGCGATTCTTATTAAGCGGCTGCCTTAGCATCGTTTTGCCCTCGTTATTAGCCCAGATTCTCCAAATTGCTCGCGTCGTCTTACGAAAGAAAATGCGATTGTATCCGAAACGATGCCTCGTATCGTTCTGAAACCTTATTCGTCGAATCCTTGTTAATTTTCATTGATTAAGCACTTTCGCAATCAACTTTTAACTCTTTGTTGGCTGAATTTCGCTAAGAGAAAAGAGAGACGCCTCAATTTTTTATTCTGCAGAGTTTACGTTTGCATGATTTAGGGACGCGTTATCCTGTTATTCGAGATGCATGTAAAGACGTCGAAAGCCGGCCGGTTGCTGCATTAAATAGCCCACTGGACCTCCAGTCGATATCCACTCGGGGGATAGCTGACGCCGCAGAATTCACATTTCATGGAACTCTGTAAACTGTGAGAACGCGTATTGATTTCTGTCCGTCCCGGGCTATCGTGATTCGGGTCGACTTAGCGGGTGCTGATCGCTGATGGAAAGGCGACTTACGGCGACTTGCTAGCGTATAAACGATAGCGTATCTAGAAACGTTCGTTGACAAACTGACACGGTCGTGAAGGATATCGGAAGGCACGATCTTCGCTTGAGATTCCGATTGAAACTACGAGAGCTCGTCACCTACGCTTCCGCTCGAGTAAATCTCAAATCTCGTCCACGACGACAGTGTCTGAAACTGTTTGAAACTCACGGTGTTTCTCTCAAGGTCGTCGCTTGCAGCGTCCCGGTTCGAGGATAATTTGTTAGGTCAGTGCCGGGCTTGGCAAGAGCGGCCGCGGCGAGATGGAACGAGTAAAAAGTGTCCCCGCTAGGGAAACTTGCCAAGAGGCTGCGTACACGGTCGACGGATCGTTACCGAGATACCGCGAATATCTCGTGCAGCCTCCTAACCAAGGATCGCGTTCGCGGTGTCGCGCAGCAAACCGGAATTTCGCGAGACCAGTTCGCGTCTAGCCAGCTGATTTATCGTTACGCTATCGGAAATTGGAATTGCTAGGCTGCGAGACGTTCTCGATATCCATCCACTATCCATCAGCGTGAAGGAGAAGCAGACAATGAGACGAACTGAAAGAACTTGGAGTTAAACGCGCTCGCGTGATGTATGTTAAATAAGTCTCGAAAGAAGCCTTGGAGAGGCTCTGCAACGAAACGATCAACCTCAACCTTGACGATATAAATGTAGGAAGCGTCCTCAAGAGTTGCGTCGTTTAAAAATCGAGCGATTCTTAAGGACTGATGAAATTTGACAAGGTGGCGTGTTTCCAGATAAGACTCACGCCAACTCGACATTAAGATCGTAAGCTAAGGGCCCGGCATGTGGACTTTATCCGTCGTATATTCGTTTAACGCCGTCATGATGAACGGAGAACGATAGGCGAAAGCAAGGAGAAGAAAAATCGATGTATACCGCTCGTCACTCGAGATTATCGCCGTCAGATATCGCGCTCCCCTCTTTACTTTTTTGACATTTTTTTCAACACTGTTTGCGACAGCTTCACATTTCTACTTTTCCATGCGTGTGAACGGAACACCGGTTTATGATTTAAGTTTCCACAAAATTTTCGTATAAAAAATTCAATACCATCTAATTGTAAATGTTTTCATTTTCGAGATAGTTGAAAAGCGTTCGATTATTTTGAAAAATCAAATCAATTTTTACATCATATGCGTTCTGTTTATTTATACGTCATGTCATCTGTCGTCATGTCATTTCGATGTTTTTCTTGAAACCAATTTAGAAACGGCCGCATCCGACATCACGGCAGTCGTAAAAACAAAGCGAATTTTCTCCCTCGATGCAACGTAATTGGGTTTGCAGAAAATAACAAGCTGGCAGGATTGTACCTCGTGGCCGTCCAGACCGCCGGCGGACTAAAGTTTTACGCCCCTGTGTCTGCTCCCCCTTGCGAGTCACGTAAGTGCACGTCCACGCGATTCCAGGGGGCGAGCCGTTGTTTCAACCACCCTCCAACGGAACCGTTGGCGGCCCCGCTCTCTTGGCGAACTAAAAAAGCTTTTCGATTCACGGTTATGGCCAGCTAACGATCCAAGCTGTTGTTCCAGTACTTTTTGAGTAGAAAATGTTCGTCTTATATCGTTATTTATTTTATCCGAAAAATTTTCACTCGAAATATATCAAAATTATTTCATAAAGCGATTGTTTTCGCAAGAAATATATCGCAATAAACAAATTCCTTTACAAAAGTAAAATAATTTGCGTGGCTTTCGAGTTGATGTTCGAGATACGAGTTATCGCTTGTAATTTCAGAGAGTATATGCATATCAGTTTTTAAATCTAAAGTTCGCGGCACGAAGTTAAATAATGAATTCATAAGTGGTTTGGTCATTGACCCTTGAAGCTTCGGCGCTAGGGGTTGATAATACCAGCACAAACCACCATAATGCACGCTAGAAACACGACGTGACGCAATCTTTCGCTTCCGTCGAATTGCATGAAGGTTATTCAATTTCGAAGAGATTCCAATGATCGCTCGTTCTTCTCTTCGTTCACCTTATAAAGAGTTTTTCCTCCTCCGCTACACTGTTAACACGATTAACATAGATTAATGCAGTATTAACGATTCCGGAAACTTTAAATTACGCGTTCGAGCGAGCAGATTTATTAGAGTAACGGTAGTACTTTAAAAGATAAAGAGAACAGTAGATATTGGCCAGGATAGTTTAATATTTGCGTTGCTTCTTTTAAGTATACTTTAAAAATCTGTTCAAACATCGGGATTTTATGAATCTAGATCAAATTCTTCAAAATGAGGGATTTTAGATTTTTTGTTACAAAAAAATTTTACAGATTTAACAAATTTTAATTTTTAAGTAGGTGCTTTTGTCCAAATGTATGTTGACTTTTGTTTCGATATAAAAAATTATATATTCTCCAAATTACACAGGCTACGAAATTTGAGGTTTGGTTAATAACAAAAAGAAGTAGAATAAGTAGAAAATCTGGCCGCAAAATTTTTCCAGCACGTCAGATTTTTGAGTAATTTGTGGTTAAATAGTCCAAAATGGCTATTTCGACCAATTTTATGAATTTATTATGAGGGAACCTAATTTTTTGAAATATTTCTGCCAATGACATCATATAATATTAGTCTAGAAGGTGAAGACTAGTACTATACGATGCTATTGGCAGAAATATTTCAAAAAATTAGTTTCTTCCATAATAAATTCATGAAATTTCCCAAAATTGCCATTTTTGGACTATTTAACTATAAATTATTCAGAAACCTGACGTGCTGGGGAAATTCTACGGCCAGATTCGTTTTCAGCGTCAAAAAATCTATGATTTACCTACTCTGCTTTTTGTAACCCTCGCAGGCCTGTGCTATTATTTATTCTCTATCAATCAGTAATTTAGTCAAGTTGTCTATAATATATATATCTACATATACCTAAATATATGTCCTAAAATGTGACGGATTTAATAACGTTATATTTTATTAAAATTTATTTGGAAAATTGAATTCTCTGAGCAATGTTATTTTAACATGAAAATAAATAAGCGCGAAGTAAAAATGTTTGTTTAATTAAAAGCCATTAAAAATATTAAAAATAATAACAAATAAAGTACTTTTCCAAATATTTATCAAATTGATGAATGTCAATTGAAGCTAAATATTCAACGCCGGTTGTTCTACTGTTAATTTGTCGTTGTAAAAAAAAACGTTGGGATTGTAAAAAAAGTATTTTCCGTATCGATTATTCAACTCTCCGATACTATAAATAATAATTGGATTACACAAATATGTACCTCGGTTTCCAAAATGTAAAGATGGAACGAGAGTCTAAATTCATTTCCTCGTTAATTTGATATTCTCGAAAATTCAAAGTCTAATTTATCTCGGCGATTCTCTCGGAATATTTTGACGAGTCGCAAATAGAGCCTCTCCTGCGCGACTTCGCATTTATCTGCGGTGCCTTTTCTAGGAAAGGCGATTCAATTTGGTTCGAACTCGAGGTTCTCTATTATAGGGCAGCTCGGAATTAGAACAGAACGAAATAAATCAAATGGAAGACCGGTAGGAGAAAGCTTCCAACTCCAACGTGGCAATAATCACGGCCGTTCGGTTTTCGTCGGCTGTAATTTCAAAGTTACATTTGTGTGTGATGGACTGCAAACCGAAAGAACAAATATGTCGGCACGTAATCCTGTCCTTTGCCAAGAAACATTAACGAGGTGCTAATGCTTCGGGTGTCATTCTTACACGCTAATTATATATCATCAAAGACAGAATACGTTCCAAAGAGATTTTTTTTAAATATATATTTTACTCATTTATATATTTTTTTTTATATGTTAATGTATATATTTATTTTATATTAAAATACATATTTATTTTATATTAATACATATATTTATTTTACATTTTGTATATATTTTACTTTATTTTATTTTATATTTAATATATATATTTTTTACTTTATGTTATTTTATGTTATGTTATTTTATATATTTTATTTTATTTTATATTTTATTTTAGATTGGAAATCGACTTGGAGATACCGTAAATCTATAGGGATATATTCGTTCATTGTCCGTCGAAGCTGCCGTCATCACATTGGCTGATACTAGAAGCCAGGCTAAGAAAAATAAGAGTTACTGCGCTCTGGGACATCTCGTACGTGGTAAACTTTAACTCGAAAAGATGGATAGTTTGGGGAATAGAGAGAATTATGAGCGGTGAAATGAAAAGGGGGTAGGCATCCCTTTCGTACAAGTTCTCTCCGGGAAAGTCCCACGTAAATATACATGCATTTACGTGTAACTGTCATGGGGTGCACGCGAAAGGCCCTAGTCTAACATGTTTTGTAACCTCCTCAACAACGAGAACAAAGCGGGATCGATATCCACGACGCCGCGAGGCTGACGACGACGGCGACGGTGGCGGCGATGATGATGGGTGGTGGTGGTACGTTTCGTGTTTCGTTTCTCATTTCCGCGGAGGACAATGCACCCGACGATGCAAGGATCAAATAGTCGATATCGCGGCAGCGATTTTAGCAAAGCGCGGAAACTGCCGACGTTGCTTCGTTTCATCGATTCGCGACGATAACCGCGAGAGAGAGACCGTAGCTTCACCTCGTCGTCTCTTAACGAAGACGAATCTCGCATAAATTTCGAGATTGTTCAAGAAGGCGAAAGATTTGTAAAGAAAACACAAAGTTAATAAATATTAAAATTCCTAAAGCGAACGAAATTTTTTTTCGTTTCGCTGCGAAAAGATTGTCTTCGGAAGAGGGAGAATTTTGAGCGATGATGGAGGAGATGATGGAAGGAAATACTGCGGAAACCTGGGACGAAGTGTACATGTTATAAGGGGAGAATATAGCCGGTAACGATACTCGAGGGAGTCCCTCTCTTCGATAGAGAAAAAGAGAGAGAGAGAGACCAACACCGGAATACGTAGAACGTGCTGAAGCGTAGACTGCGAGGGCCGTCTTAGGCCTTTCGCGTAACGTGCTCTTTCAAGACTAGGGTCATCTATAACCCTGGCCATTGGATTCTTATCGACCCGCCCGTTGTACTGAATTTTTCAGTGTGCACGCCGGGTTGATTGACCGCCGGCTAGATACTCTATGGACTTTCCGCATGTCTCGTTCGTGATTCCGAGATGTATCGTGAATCTCCATCCTGTCGATCCTTCTTGAAGAATCTTTCCTGAGAGAGAGGATTGTCTCGTTCTTTTCGAGAAGAATATGCGAAGTTTCGTCGCTTTACATGCGTCTGATTTTATTTTCATTCTCATTCCTTGTTCCATTCTTTGTCCTACGCGAAATGTATTCCGAGATCGAACAGTACACGATCGTGAAAGGTCACGGTGCTATCTTGAAGATGAGTCAGAGAGAATGTTTCTGTTGTACATAAATCATTCTATCGATCCTGAAATTGCATTCCGACCGGTGAATATATTATATTGTTCTGTCTACAGTTTTTTTTCGCCGCTGTTGTTGTTTCCTCGCAAATACCATGGCATTTTCCGCAGTTTACATAAGTAAGCAAAATCGCTGGCGCTCTTCGAGGAGAATTCTCTTCAAAGAGAACACGCTTGTAACTTTCGATCGAATTTAATAACGCGTGATAATTAAAAGGATCATTTTCTTTCGAAGAGCTTTCCGTGCGAGACATTCGAGACAAAAGTTACCCCGGGAGAAGTTGTTTTAGTTTAACGAGCGTTGAAAACGCTGATGGACGAAATTTCTTCGTGCAATTTGGCTGTCTCGATACTCAAGTTTGGTCGACAAGTTTCACAAAGTGTCGAACGAGTTTCGCGAAGCCGAACTTCCGGAAAAGGACGACCGAGCTGCGTTCGTCTCTAAGAGACGAAGAGAAAATTCTTGAGACAAACTTATGGTAGACTAATTTAATCATAAACGATATTTGATGAGGAGAAGAACATCTCGTATTTCGTAGAATGACAGAATAAGAGCAGCAGCGAAGATGTAGATGATCTCTGGCTGATCTTCTTTAATATTTTCAACACGCGTAGTTGCTCTCGTTTGTATTCCTCCAAGCTGTCATTTGTAATTTTTAATATGAAAGCACGTGGTACCAGAGATTGATCTATCGATTCTCCAAAATGGAAAATAATAAAGTACCTCAGCCTTGAAATTTACATATCCCGAAGGTGGGGTGCATCGGAAATAGCACGAAACTCGCGGGTTCTCTGATTATTAGCTTTCTTATTTCGACGTTCTACTTTACATATTTTATGATTTTATTTCTCTATCACGGAAAATCCATGTCGTTCTTAAAAGACGTGAAGCAATATGAAACATTGACAAATCTATTTAGTCGATTAACACGTCTAATCGATTAATCGATTGACAAATCATTTTCATGATGTATTAGAGAGAGTTTTGTTTAACTTTTTACCGTAAAAGCCGTGTTAAAAAAAGACACAAGATTAATGATACCAGTTAAATTCTGCATGTTTTTATAATCTGAGCTTGTTATCAACATACCATTTTTCACGTAAAAGTCTTCTCAAACTCATGCAAAGTCACATATCGCTTACAGAGTTTTAGTCACGTACTTTTCCTGTTACGTGTTATGTAACTTTATAGTCGTGTCGTGCAACTATTATTCGTATATCGTTGACAATTAAGGGTAGAGTTGGAACGGTAAACGTCGTAAACAATGTACTCTTATATCTGGTATGAGATCGCAGTGGCTGACATTAAAAGCGACTGGCACGAGTTCCTCTTCGACTTGTCGCAATTCGATTCGAGCTTTTCGATGTCGGTTACTATCGTCGCGTTCCATCGCAAACATTGTTTATTTTCTAGAGAAGGGAGGAAACTTTCATCAACTTTGGCGATCCCTCGAAGAAGGGAGCAAAATTAATTGACTCGTGGATTCATTGTTTACAATGAAAACGGTGGAAATACAAACATTTTTACCGCAAAACACGTTATTTCTAAAACGTTATCCCAAGATCCTCTTAATATCCTCCTTCTCAAACTTTTCCCAAGACGAAAATTTCTTGGCGGAAGAATCGTCTCGCCTCCTAACGAGTAACTTGGTTCATCCAAATCCAGGATCATCGCACGTTGGTCGTCATTTGCCAAATCTATAGGCTGTCAAATTCTTGGCGTACGGTGCGTGCGCGTTTGTGCTCAAATAAAACTTTCCCCGACACTTGGGGTCGATCGCGAAGCCCATGTGAGCCTCGGGTTTCCACAAGCAGTTCGCAAAAATCCCCGGTCGCCACCTTGGGCATCGACTCGCGGGAAATCCGTAGGGGTTGTCGATTGATTCCGCGTAGTAACGCCAGGCTCGATTGTGTCCGCAGGTGACTAGGCAGAAAATGTCAAAACTGAGGTTGACGAGCACAAGTTTATTTGGCAAGAGATGAAAATAGAACCAATGAAAATATATAGGGAAGAAAGCAATGTGTGTCGAAACTCACTGTATTGATTTATGATTTTCCGGAAGCTCATGCGAAGGAGGTTCTTTAAATCGCAGCCAGGCTGTCGTCTGCTGCCGCCGTTGGGGTAAAAATCGACGTGGCCGAGCGGTTGAGGGAATCCGAAATTACCACCGTCAGTGTGAATGACGTCGACGAACGCGGCGTCGGCCCACGTCAAGTGACCCTCCTCCCCGGTGTCCATGTACAACGGATAAGCCGGGTCCAATCCGGTGATTCTGCCTATCTAAAAACGCGTTTCTCTCAACGTATAGCATACCTGATACGTATATACGGTCTGTCGGTCGCGTCGATATCGCGCCTCCCGATGCGAAAGTCCCGGCACTAATGTGGTTCCGATAATGCGGCCTTCGATTAGCCGAGGGAATGTGCAATGCGCTGTGGCTGACGATCGTTATTAGCGGACCTTACGATATACGCCTTACCTTCCGTGGCGCCAGGGCCTTCCCCATAAAACCGGCAGCCTCCGCTCCCAAGCTGAAGCCGATCACATGAATTTTTGATAAGGAAACGGCTTTCTGCGCCTCGAGCCATCTCATCACGTGAGCTAAGTAACGGCCGATGATTCTGGTATTTTTTACTGCCGTTATGTACCACGGTAATACCGCCAATTTCGCCCAGTTTATCAATATCACGTTATAATGCCCATGACGAAGGTACGCTGAAACAGAGACCATAATTGAATATGATTGTAAATTTTTTTGGAATCTTTTTTAAATTATTTTTAATTTCAAAAATGTAGGGAACACGAATGATTCACATGACATAAACGAAATTAACCGCGGAACGGTTTGTTCTTGACTTGACAATAATGTCAGAGTCGCGTGCATAGGAATTTGAAAGAGCATCATCAAGCGGAGAATGAGGCTTTCTTTCAGAACGAACAAGTAAATATAAAGCTGCCTTCTTCGGAACAACGGAAAATTGAATTTGATCGTGAGTTTGAAAAGCGGAAAGAGATTCGCAATTTATCGTCTGCAAACTATGCTAGCGCTATTATTTCACCCTCACTATTCTCCTAACAGAACTTTTTTAGGTCTTGGACAGGATATCCACGTAGTTAGTAATGGATCCAGCCCACTTACTCACCGAAATCTATGAGTGGAAAAGGAAACGAAAGTATCGCGGTAACTTCTAACAAGCTATTTTAATATTCAGAACGGATATGTATCGTGCAATATCACGCACGCCTACAAGAAACGTTAATAACGTCTGTCGCATATTCATCATGATCAAAGTTGAATGAGATACGATAAAGTGGATCGCGTTTCGATAGAAAAACACTTGTTGGAAATTGTTCAACCTTTATTTTTCACATTGGCAAGAAGGAGATCAAACTTTTTCTATGCATCTCGAAGTTGACGAGCTTGACAGAATGCTCTCCCCTTTATGCATTTATGCGAACGCCTTTCTTGCAATCGATCGCTCTGCAGCGGCACGGCATGCTTGTCGATTTTAACTGGTTATTTATAAAGATGTATACCGTTTCGTATAGCGATGGGCCCCTTTCCTGAAGTGCTGTCGCTGTATCCGTGAATGTAAACGATAGTCGGGTGTTTAACGTTGAAGTTACTCCTCCACAATGTTGCGACATTGGTGGGGTCCAGGACAGATGGATACGTTGGATTTCGCCTGCCGTGGATTAATGCGAAACGCAATAAAAATGTAGCTATGAGCAAAATTTGTGAAATTTAATACGGTCGATGGTGGGCTCGTTGACTTATGGGGTACTGAAAGATCATCTTTCATTCCCATTAATCAGAGATTCCAGTATTAGAAATTTAATTAATTAGTTACGCGAATAGCTTTTTGATGAGCTAATGGATTAACGAAAACGTTTGATTAATTAGATCTCTTAGTCTTTTGATAATATTAATGCTAGAGCAATCAGCGTTGAATGCCACATTTGTAAATTTGGCGGATATTTGTTATCATTTTCCATTTTTTTAATGCTTTCACTTACAAACATTTTTTAAATTTTTATACTTTTTTTATTAAAATATAAAACTATTGGGTATATTTATATATTATAATATATTATTTCCAGTAATTTGGTGTTTTTCACTCTTTTTATAATTATCTAATTTTGTTATATAAAAAGTAAAAAGATAGAGAAATATATTTTTTGCAATGATACTGTATATATATTTTCAATTACCATTATTATATTCTAGAAATTGTTACCTAAATATGTTTTAAAACAAAATTAGATCAAATTATATAAAATTATTTTATACTAAAGAATATATACCTAAAAATAAATATACCATACGATAAGCGTTAATATTATGGCATGAATTTTAAAAGGCAACAATAAAAATGCGATTTTTCCGAAATGTTATCGAAATACCATATCAATTGATATTTGTTATAAACGAGTCATGCAAAATATGATATCATATCTCTCTCACTTTAGCTTACTTATAAAAAAATACATATAATATTTCTTTGAAAAATTTCGCTTCGTATTCTATAAAAAATAATTTCTACATTGTCATATTTCATTTTATTCGTTCTCTAATGGTTGCGTGCTATCAAATTTCTAATAAATTTCCAATAAATTTTGATGAAGCATGAAAATATTAAATTTATCATTTTGACAGGTTTTGAAATATTTAGATATATATACTAAAACTTTGAAATTAGAATGGGGTTGATGAAAAATAAATTAGCATAATTATTTTGTCTAATCATCTTGAGAAAATTCAACTAAATATTCAAATAAAAGCTCCTAGTAATTTTTTGTAATTAAAACAAAAACTCTGAAATATCCGTTCGTTTGACAGGTTTGTTTGTTCTAGAATTAAAAGCCGAGAGAATAATAAATTATACTAAACATTTTATAGAAGTACGGCGGGTGATTTATACTCACGAACAATCTGTGTACCTGGTATACAAGTAAAATTGGACGTCCCGATTTAACTCGATGGGACAGCAATAGAAACACGTGCCGGCGGGAAGTATAGTCAGATGCAGCAAAGAATCCGCTGATAACAAGAGAAAGTAAAAAATCATAATTTTAGCAAAATCTGAATCGGATCAATTTTTCATCTCGCGTTTATACAATAATAATACACAAAAGTTTATAATCGAAGAATCGCGAATAAAACAAGCGAAAATTGAATTCAGTAAAATTAGCTCTTTCCATCTTCGAACCAGGCAGAGTCGAGAATCCATTTCAGAGATACCACGCTTGGCGCGCAAGGTACAATAAAATCAAATGGCCGAAATGACTCGCGCTTTGCATTTTCACCGATGTATTAAACGTGGTGCATAATGCCTACGACGACGACGGCCGGCCTCGACCAATCGCCGCGGTCGTCGTCATTGAACCTGACGATGGTCACGTTATGTCGCGTGTTGCGCCGCCGGCGGAGATCGACGGTGCGCGATACCTTAGCGAGGAATCCCCCTTTACTTGCCCAGGAACGCTGCTCGATTTTTCGCAAAACACGCGAGAGCACAATGGAATATTTTTTTACCAACTACGTTAATTTCCGTCCCGTCGCACGAGCCGCCTTTTTTCTGCACGATAGTCTCCGAAACGATTAGCGTTCGACGGTCCAGAACGTTGCTTCTGACAAGTCGGACAATCGTCTCCCGATGACTTAATCAATTCGTAAGGACAAATGGCAATTTCCAGAAGACGCGAGGAAGAAATAATCTACCGTTTCATCTACTTTGGCAACCAGACGCGATGTCGTGCCCGGTCGCAATTAAGCTGAAAACGTACGTATACGTGGTTAAGTGGCCGTCGAGCTTGTTCGCGCGCCCCTTAAACCTTCGAGCAACGCGTCGAACGGCTTTTGTATGGAAACAAGTATGTATATCGTGCGTGAGCTTTAATTATTTCCCGTCGAAAACGTTTCTGTGAGTAATTTATATTTTCGTCGGAAGTACGAAACGTTCGAGAGAGGCTTGAAAGGCTGTCACGACTATCGGCAAACGTCGAGCGAGTTTAACGCGCGACGTAGCCGGACAATTAAATAAATGATAAAACAAATTGTTACGATTGTTTGCGCGAAAGTTAAATGACATAATCTCGGCTTACGACTTCGTATTCCTACTTTACAATTGCGCAATTGGACAATTATACACTTTGTCAAGCAGCATCTCGCGTGAAAATAGGTCGCGCTTTATTACACTTTCACCGCGATAATCGCGGTGCTTTTTCGCTCGAAGCATTTCACCGCGAAGACAATTATTCGATTATGTCACACGGAGTAGATTACCAACACGATCGAATCTGTCGTGTAAGTTTGCGATCTAAAAAATCTTGTCTCTTCCAACGGACGGCCGGCAGGTGAGAGGATTATTGAACGAACGGGATGTAATACCGAGAGATCTCTCAGACTTGCCGGTCATTGCGCATGTTGTGCTTGGTATTACAACCGTTATAAGGAGCTGTCCGTATTTTTTCATTATTAGCGTAATCGGCATTAGCAACGCGCGCCGTGTCATGATTTACGGTCTGATGACGCTGCATTGAGAGAGCGGGATTTTTTTGCGACTGCGATCGAAAGCATAAAATACCGTATTTTGATTGTGCAAAGGTGGCGTAAACAATTGTCTTTTAGACATTAGAATGAAAGAATAGATGAAATTTAAATTTTTCATTTTTATTAAATTTCATCTGCTCCATTCTAATTTCTTAAAAACAATTATTAACTAACAATGTGCAATTATTAAATAATAATTAAACATTTTTCTAACAAAATAAGAATTACTTTAGATCGCTCATATAATGATGATCGCGAAGAAAAAGATGCTTATTACAACTACTTCTGTTCCGCATCTAAGGTTCGATAAACTTTTTCACGATTTTGCGGTGAATCGCTATTGAATTGTCACTTTAATCCGGGTCGCTGGAACTGCTCGATGATGGTTTGAACGTAAAAGCAACGTAACTGTCTCTCATTCTTGTACCGGTTACACCGGATGACGAATGACCGATCGATGTTATGTAAAAAGGCCCGCACTTGAATTTCGTAGAAGGCTCGTCAAGAAATCGCCGCATACCATGTGTGCTCTCATATTAGGAATTTATCGAGCCGTACAGACACGTGAATCCCGTTTTTTTGTAAAGAATGCGTTCCGATTACCTCATTTCTTATATATCCAAGTCAATCTATTTACAATCTCTTTGAATGGAAAAGCTACATCGATAGAGGAGAAATAACTGGATTCCGGATAATTAACGATAATGAATGATCGACGAGCAAGTTTGATGAAGCATGTCCTTATTTACAATTTAAATGACGTATTTACATTCTGTCTGATGAATCGCGGTTTGTTAGAATAAATTGGTTTGAACTTCTAAGAAGAGTTTAGCACGATTTTACTCGCTTCCGAAATTAATCGTCGCGAAAATAAAGCGCTCCCGTTACGCTTCGCACATTTGCCCAGGTTTCGTTCCTTGTCTAACGAATCATTTATCACACCGCTAACTGGTACCGGTTATTTTTCTCACTCTTGTTATTCGTCGACATTTTGTGAATCACGGTTGTTTACTATTGTATGAAACGGAACTATATTTAATACGTTTATGCACCGACTTCGTCGAGATTTCGCGAGTGACTGTATGATCTAGTTTTAGTTCGTTGGCGATTAACAGTTTCTCCACTAGGTTAATACGTAAAAACACCGATATAATATTCATGACACCACTAATTTTTTCCTTTGAATAAAATTAGACTGTTATATATGTGTGTATCGATAATTGTGTACACATGCATACAATATATCGGTCAAAAGTATCGCATCACTTATGGAAACAGCGATCGTTATTTTAATGAAAACATAAATGTTATCAGATTACTATTATTTTACGCTTTAATATCGTAAAAGTAATAATTATATTAAATAACAACAATTTTAAATTTGCTACTAATATTTGATTCCAGCGTATTTGCAAGTATTTCCAATTATTCTTGATATATAGGTTTCATTTTTATTGAATTCATCCCACAATAGATCTTGAATTAAGATCCGCAGATTGAATCGGAGAGGCTACTTTAAAAAATCAAAAATTTAATATTCCTGTTTATTTGTTGTAATTTTTAATTCTTACGATATTAAAACAACAATGATAAAATATAAATTAATAATATTTATACAAATTTAAGTTACTTCCCTGTTTCTATAAATGAATGAGATGCTTTTCGTCCGGTTGTGTAAAACCGGACATAACGCTAATACATTAAAGTCACATAAACCGTCAATTATCGCACACTTTTCGCGATTTATGGTCCACTTTGCGAAAACGATTGGCACTCGCGGTAATTGGGAGGATTGTCGAGCGATTGTGCACTGTCGCGCAATTTACCTCTTCGGAAGATGTACAAATTACAGAGAATAGGCACGAGGAAGGACGGGACCATTGTCGAGCGTCCGAAAACCTCGAATGACGCTCTCTGCACCGCGGAGAGCCCGTTACGGTATCGTCTTATGTACGTCGGATTCGAGAGGAAACTAGCGGGAAACGATTCCAGCTGATCATTTTGTAGAGTTCGCATACCCTCATCTCTCTAGCGAGCATAACGCGGGCATCATGATCTACTTTCCACTCTTTTTCTTTTCGTATATAATTGTGATAGTACAAGAATCGCTCCAGGCAAGAATGATTACGGTAAAAAAAAATTATTTAATAACCTCGCTTCCGGAATTCGTACAACAAACAACTTCACACGTCGTTAAATGTAGAGCATAAGAGGATGTATTTCGAGGAAGATCTTCTCTCATGTTGTTTCTCTAATAAATCTCCTTTCGTTTCAGCGAGTATGTTTTAGTAACTGTTTCGTTCCATTAAAGGGAAATTAAATTCAATATATTTATACAAAAATTAAACATTTGATAAAAGAGCCTTTAATTTTTTGTTTCCAGGACAAGTTACTGACGAAACTGGAGGAGAACGAACCGGAATTGGCATCTTCGCAGGAGGATGAGGTAAGAATCGAAAGTGACAGTAAAAATGCGACATATATTAAAGCGTTACAAATACAAATATGAATCAAATGATGAAATAAAGCAAAATGGCAAAATTTTCTTTCTCAGTAATCGCTCAAGCCTGTCACGAATTTAATCACGAAAAAAGAAATTAACGGGTTTTTGCGGTTAACTAATCATCCTATACGATTGCTACTCTTTTTTCGCTAAATATTTTATGCTTTTTTTAAAAACTTGCTCAAGTTAATTTGACTGTTTGAGAATTATTGCCTGAATGACGATAATTTCGTTGACAAGTGACCTCGATTACTGACGACGAAATAAAATTATTTTAACAGATATAGAAAAAAAAGCAATTGAAATTAGTTAGAAGAAAACACATACTTTTCTATTGATTACATCAAATTGCGAGAAGCAAAAGAGTTTTCATTCTTACGTAAATACAAATCGGATAATTAGTTTGAATAAAAGAAGGTTAATGAAAATTATTCGCTTTGCAAATAACGCGTAACTCCAACTGTGTGGCCTGATTACATTCCTTGAAACATTCGTAACTATTTTCCTGAAACGTATCGTGCAAATAGTCAATATGCAAGAACATGCGTTAAAAATAAACGTAAAAAAATAACGTTAAAAATAAATAAAATGTCTGCGTCTCTTTCTTTCCCAATCTTTTCTAATCTAGTATCTCTTTTAAATTATCAAGTCCGATAGAAATACATGTACTTTGGCCTTAGCGTGAAACACGTAATACGTAAATTCTCTGCTAGAGACGCCGCGTATCTCTTCGCTTCGTTGCACCAGGTTGAAACTGTTAGGCTGTCACGATAAAGAAACTGACGATAACAGAGCACTGTATCGCGCAAAATATGACCGGCCGTTTGGAAGAGTCGCAATTTCCGAACGAATTGGCCGCCCAATCGGTCGCAAAAGTCGATTAACCGACGACGACGTCGACGACAAAGTGGCGGTCGCAACCCTTCGACTCCTGACGTGTTCGCCCACCCTCCCGGACTCGGGCTATTAATATTTCGATTAAAGTGACGTCTAATGACGTTACGTCGATTACGGCAACCAATATCGCGGCCGTCCTGATCGCTAAACAACGATCCCGTTGTAGCTCGGGATTTAATAACGTTACACGTGCAAGAGCGTAAGAACTATGCAAATAAAGCGAGAGTCACGTTTCACGGTGAGCATACGAATAAAAGCGGTTGTATCTCTTTATTTCTCATCGATTTGTTTTCTTTTTTCCTTTCGATACTATTCATGGGGTTGCCAATCAAACTTCCACTTATAATATCGTTAAATCGTCCCGCCTTTTTTTTCCCAGTGCGTCATATGCGTGAACGCGAGGGCGACGATGCAAACAGCGCCGTGTGGGCATCGAGTGGTGTGCAGGTGAGCAAAGAAGCTTATATATTTCTTCGTGTCTCTCTTTTTCCGCACTCTAGTATTTCCTTCATTTCTCTTGCGACATTGAAAAGCTCGACGGTTAGTTATTTTGCACATACCAGCGTGGCAGTGACATATTATGCTTAACAAGGAGCTGTCCTTTCAAGACAGTATCTCTAATTACGACATCTCTCCCTCTCGTTTTACGTTAACTTTACGTTTCGTCTGCAGACGCTGCTTCGTCAAGACGATACAAATGGCGGTGTCTCAGAGGCTCTTGCCGCTGAGATGCGTTATATGCAGAGCGAAGATCCTACGGCTGAAGCAGACTCTCATTCCGCGTGACGTAAGTGCAGATTGCGCGTTTGATCTTAAACGAGCATCTCTTCTCGCTTTCGGACGCGGATATATGACGATTACGCTCTCCCGCTCGTTTAACATTTTCCGCTCGCTTTAGAAAGCTTCCTCCGCGAAATTCGTTTTAACATCGTTCTCTTTGTGTACACATTTCGTGTCGTCAATAAATTTCACGTTGCTGACGTGATCGCGACGAAAGTGTTGCTAATTGGAGCGGATTTTCAAAGCTCGGACGGTGCCTTTGCAGGCAATTCGGCTACCGTGTAATGCGAGGTACCTTGTTGCTATTTAAAGACAATTTTCGCCAAAATCGAAATTGCCCAAAATATTTGTCCTTCAAACGCCTCTCGTGATGCGTTCGATTGAAATATTGCAATTAAAAATAATTAACGTATGTTTGCTGATTAATTGTTAAATATAAGAATTAATGACACCTGTATATCACGTCTATATTTAGCCCGTTCTCCATTTATATGACGCAACAATCGCGATTCCATATGCTAATCATCGTAACCGCTGCAAATACATCTCTCTCGGGCGATCGATTGGCCTCTGTTTTCATTTATAGTATTCGATGTCGGGCAAATCCTGGGTACTGCCTCAAAGCGCATCAGAGTACAACATGGGCACGGGTGTAACCGCCGGCGTATCCGGTCCCGGTGGCAGATGGGGAACCGGAAGCGTACCAGCCTCCGCCTCTCTATACTCGATGGCCAGCGGTTCGTCCTCCATTTCTGGTTCGTAGTTTGAAGCTCGGGGAAAATTGCAGTCTACGTTATCGCGTCGAAGCATTATAAAGATAAGCTTAACTCTCTGAATTCACTCGTGTAGGAGTGTCTTCCGTCTCTTCGGCAACTTCCTCGTCCGCGCATAGCACCGGAAGTTCCGCTCTCGGCAAACCTACGAGGGTACGGCAGCCCACAGGCGCCAGTCTCAGACGTTCCCAGACGCAGTCGATGAAAATGCGAATTCAGGTTAGCAGCGTGTCGTAATATTCAATGTAAAAAACATTTGGGATCGCCTAGATTAACATTAGACAAGTATCACAATTTGAGAATAACTCTTTTCGATGATTCTCTCAGTCTCGGAGAAGAGGACTTGCAATACATGTACGATTTACCTGTTGAAATTAATAGGAATACCAGGATCCGGTTCAACAAATCACCGAGGAGGAGGAGATCCGGGAGCGTCGATTGCCGCCAATCAAGGAGTTCCAGAGGGACTATCGCGCTGGCAAGGCCTCTACTAGAATCAGGTAGTTTCGTGATTCTCGATTCGATCGCACTCGTCGACAGGAACGTGGTCGTAATACCGTGTCCGACCTACGTTCGCAGATGTGCTCAAAAGATCGTGACGCAGCTGGAAACGTCACCGAGCCCGAGGGTCACAACGTCGACGTCGTCGGCATCGTCGTGCGGCCGCGCCGCATCGAAGCGGCCGGCGTCGACGTCGAAAATGTCGGTGGTCCAGGAGGTTCAGAAATCGAAGAAGGAGAAGGAACGGGAGAAGGAGCGGGAGAAGGCGGAGAAGGCGCGACAAAAGGAGGAGGAGAAGGCGGAAAAGACCAGGCAGAAGGAGGCGAAGAAGCTGGCGAAAGAGGAGAAGAAGAGGGCGAAGAAGGAAGCCAAGGCACGGCGGAAGGAAGCCGAAGAGGCCCTCCTGAGGGACGAGAAGTAGGGTTCTCCGGTGGTAATCGCGCAGAGATCTCGAGATGAGAGATCGATCGTTGCGACGTACGGGCATACCTGAAGAGTCTTCGACGAATAACGGTGATTTCCGGGTATTCCGTAGCCGCATAGGATCGATAGCGTGCGCGGGATGGGTCGCGGATGTTCGTGATGTAATTGCAAATGTTAAGTGGCGCTCCTCGTAAAGGACGTCGTCTCTTGAAAATTCCAGCAGCCAGCTATCAACTAATGAATATGGCCTAGCGCGAAAGCGGTTCTCCGAGAAGCGAGCACTCGGCACGATTATAGAGATCGTGTCGGTGTTAATAAATCCGAGGTAGGTCATCCGGTATATTCATTCGGCTTGCTCGGCTTGCTTAAATGGGGATCCCGACAACTGCCGGCGAGGAATTGTCTCGAACAATCCGCAACTCGTCCCAAGCTACTCGTCATCTCGTAGGCTCGCAAGAAGGCGGCGAGAAGAAGTATACCTAAACAAAAATCTAGAAGCGGCCAAACTTAGTAACCCGTCATATCGAGTTATCGCGGACTAATATTATTATCGATAGGAAAAACTCGAGCATAGCGCCATAATTTAGAAAATCCAAGCGAATTATTTTCAATCTTATTACTCCTGTCGGTTCTTTCGAATTATTCCGAATCGTACTTCATCTTTTGAAACTTGCTTGAATCACATTCTGCCAAAATCTGCCATGAGATTTTTCACTCAGTTTTCGACAGTCGACAAAATCTTAGAGTTAATACAGACGTCGCGCAGACGCGATCTCTACGATTATAAAAATCACCGTATATAAAGTTCATTCAAGTTTCCAGTTGATTCGCTTGCGCGACGAGCATCTTCGTCGCGACGTTTAATCGCCTACCGCCAATTCGAGAGATAATCGATAATCCCGTTCCTCCAGTCAATTTAGACCAGTCATCGACTACGAAATTAGGAAAAGGAAGAAAAAACACTCTCGATTTTTTTCATTTGCACCATGCTCCGACATTTCATCTTAACGGTTTAGAGAAATCGCGCGGAGGGCAAAGTGCTTGCAAAATATAAATCAAATTTTTCTTCAACGGCGACTCTATAAGAAAGATTTACGTACAAAATGATATGCTTTTGAAATAACACATAAAAAAATGCAGTAATTGACTTTTGGAGTTTTCAAAGAAAATGCAACGTGAAAATTTCTAGCCTTCTTTCCCCGAAATTTTGCCACTGGATCAAAAGAGAAGGAAGTCGCAAGCATTTCTCTTCGCTTCCCACTTTGCACTTCACAATCAAATACTCCCCCGTCATCTATCGTATATTGTAAATACACCTGCAGAATTTCACAAGCGAAGAGACGCGAACAACTTTCGTGCCGCGAGCAAAGTCGTACAAGTTGCGTACGAGGGTAGCCTAATAAGATCGATTTGTTAAAATGTACGAGAGGGTATATACCTAAAATAACGAGATAGTCTTATATAGTACAATATACACACATTTATAAATATATATATATATATAAAATATATATAATTATTTAAAAATAGATACACAGAGAGCAGAAAAAATTTTTGAAACGCAGCGCGTGTCTCGTTACTGTTCGTGAATTCGTAGGCTCATAGAAACTCTTGTTATCGATCACCCTCGGTTCGGCCCTTTTTCCTCGCTCGACAATTCATGAGCGATTATTACCTAAACGAATTAAGCAATTAATTATGAAATTGCTATGCTCTACGACGTTCAATAGATTCCTCAGAATTTTAAGAATGCAAGTTACATAACAATTACGCGCTGATAGCTTTAACGACAAAAACCCCTGTGTCATCGACACATATACAGATAAATATACACACGCGCACACACACACATACACCCACATCCACGCCTACACCCACCCACACACACGCATACATATATATATATATATATATATATATATATATATATATATATACACGTGATACGCAAAAGTTTTCGACCTTAAATTTTACCCCTAATCTTGATTGTCTATTGCCTTGCGAGTCTCCTGTAAGCAGCCAAAAATCAAAAGCAATTTTTTTATAAGTCTACACGTCAAGATTAACTTTGCGCAAGTCTCGATATCAAAAAGATCAGCGAATAGGAAAGTAGTTCGAAGCGAAAATCTATCAGTTAGAGATGACGGCGACAACTTTGCCGACAGGAAATTCAATGTTATTTTCAGCGATGCATTTAATAGCGATGACGGTTTGATAATAATGACAATACTTCTTTTGTAACCGGAAGAAAGCGCAAGCGAGCGTGAAATCTTTCGGCAGCCATAAGCTGTCATGTTATGATATAGCAAGACGGGTGAGAAAGTCTCAAATACCATTTCTTGTCCTTTCGTTCATTCGCTCTGTGGGATCGAGCTCGATGCACAATTTTAATACAAACGAAAGATAATCAAATATCGGACGGTGTTTTAAGAAGCTACGATAGAAAAATATACGGTAGAAATCTCGTAGAATCTCCGCGAGCCATACCTCTGTACAAGTTTCAGTTCCTAAAATTGTGATATTAAGTATAATTAAAATTATGCAACAGTAGAGGACAAAGTCATGTTTATTTAAGAATTCCCGCAATATCTTCTGTCACATACGAGAGGCAAAGTTAAAAATTTAATGTATCTCATTCTTTCAAAAATTCGTGGTATGGTTCGACAATTTAGAAATCAAGTAGAGACAATGAAAGTAGGAATCAGCGTTGTCGTGAAAAATATAAACGAATGCGGAAGCATTCGAAAAGAATTGGACTCTATGTGTATATTAAAAAACGATCGTACACATATCAGTAGTAATTAGTGAATTTTAATTGGCTTTCTCGTTTAAACCTCATTGCTTACTAAGACGACCCAATTTCCGACTTTCTATACCAGCGAGTATCGGAATAATAAAGTGATTAAATACAATCACAATGAGGTTAATTCGACAATGCCACTAATTAGCGTGTAACGTTAAACCGTCAATTATTATACTCGATCCCAACTGTGACGAGCCCCACATGTACGGCATACTTAATCAAAAAGAAGCGTATGATCGATGTGGACCCTCGATTAAAAGCATCTTGAAGATACACACAAGAGAAGGTATATTCGAAGATATGCATAAAAACATTGTAAAGACGTATGAATAAATTTGATTTAAATTCTCAAGATTGTGGACAAATTTTCGAGGATTTGGAACACAAAAATAGAAAAATTTTTAGAAACTGGAATCGAGGACGATCATCGTCATATCGAGCATCATTCTAGGATCTAGAAAATTTTCCTTGCGGGCTCATATACGAGTGCGAGACTTTCTCGGATCCCGGCGGAAACGGAGGGAGCGCGGCGAAAAAAGCGCGAGGCCATCCTCTGCCACCTGTCAAGTCAATTTTATCGAGCACATCGTGCAACGTTACGACGTTGGGCTCGCGATACTGGCGATGATGGCCGGCCGGCCTTCGTGGCGGTAAAATCGATTTGATTTCTCAAAGTCACGCCAACGGGAAATGCCTACGTCCGGATGCATCCGGACAAAAGCGCGGGAAGCGAGGGTTTCGTCGGACGGACCTCGCGCGTGGCGCGAATCTCTTCAACCTGCATGATTTGTTAACGCTCGCAATCAATCTTCGACTATCGTAATTCGAATCTGGAAAACGTATAATTATCGTGAGAGAGAAACTAATTTAATCTACAGAAATTAAACAACTTAATCAGCCTGCATTAATAATATAAATACAATTAAAAGAAATGTCAAGCACATCTCTCTTCGTTCGTTTAGAAAAGAGAATGCGTATTGAAGAAAAATCGGGCTAGTTAAGAATCTCATTACGATAGTCGAGGATTAACGATGGAGAGGCAAAAAGATGCGAGGTATAGCGTAATCGTTGGCAATAATATTCGAGCTAAGGGGAGGACAAAAGTGTGCGGACAAAGAGGGACGATCGCGTCTCGTCTGTGCGATAATACGAAACGCGTATATCACGATTAGACGTAACGAGAACGACTTTATCGTATACTTTATTATATAAGGCAGAATTTGTAGACGAGTTTATATTAGGCCGATATCGACATCGCGATCCTTATCCCGTACAATGGATGAGATGACAATTGTCGCGTTCGAGTTCTAACAACTTGGAATGAAAATCCCGCGCGCGTTTCCATCTTTTACAGAAAATATCGAAGACTTTTATGTTAGCCGGAAGAAGATTGTAGACGAAGCTACATGTTGCCTTCTGTTCGAAAAGCCAGCTGTACCATTTCATTTCTCTTCCTAAATCTCTTCGCGATAATTTCTTTCCTCGAAATCAAGACATCGTACGATCTGAGAGACTGTCAACGCGAGGAACATCAAGGAGCGATAGTTGTATAAAATCAAAATTTGTCCATCGGCCAAACGTGCCATTGGATGCGGAAGTAACGTAGAGATAAATTCATGGCAATTTTACGCTCCTCGATTCCTCGATTGACGCTCGTCACATTCCAAGCGCGTCGAAATACGCGGCAAATCGATACTTAATATTAGTAACGGAATGTTTATATATCGTAGCGGATATAAGCGCTATCCGAGCTAGAGGATGAGTAGCATTTTCGGTTCATCTGCTGCGAGCTTCTTAGAAATTTTCAGAGGGCGACGTGCCTTCTTTTCTCTTCTCGAATGTGTACAATATATCTTCGACCGCATCTCGGATCTCATCGACTCGCGCTTGACAAATAAGACGAGAGATATTTAAAAAAAAAAGCTTGAGCAGTTGATTTTATCGAGTCTATTTTTAGTAGTTTTGTTCAAGGACTAAACAGATAATGGGAAAAGAAACGAAACTTACAAGAGATTATATTACGCGATATGTTTTGCGATCTGTAAGAAAAAGATAATAGATATAAACAACAAATCAAATAAAACGTTACGATCAATGTTAGCTGAATTGGAATTATTTTTCTCATTTTCATCCTTTTACCTTCTCCCAAGCAACGCAATTGGGACTTTCGCGCGACAAGTAATACACGCGTACTCGTCTTATGAATGCTGAGTTACCGTATGCCAATCTAAATCGCATGACGTGATGTTTCTCCTTCTCGAGCTCGGTTTCTTCGCAATACAGCATAATCAATGTTTCAAAGAGCTCTCTTGTTATCGTTTGAGATAGCTTTTGTCGTCATAATTCATATCATATCCCAGCAGAGGACGTATATATACGCACGTATCTCTTTATTCTACAGTGTGTGCATTTTCCTCAAGTTTTACTGCATTTCTCCAGAGTGTAAAGTTTGTTAATAATAGAAAAAATGAAACATTATATCATCTATTTTATCGTGTATACATATTTTGTGGAAATCCTGAGCGTAGCTGGAATAGAAGGTACTTGAGTCATCATATATCATGTATAAAAACTTTTATATCAAGTATTATTATAATCATCACGAGACAAGATTCATATAGTTCAAATGAACTATGATATAATCGCATTCATTTAGCTTTAATCTATACGATTGGCCTTGATTCTAAGCTACACAGTATATAGAGAACTTTTAAGCGATAAGCAATAGTGATAATAAATATTTCTTTGCTTTGTCGATGATTAGACTAATAATAAGCTAATCGTTTCTTCTTGGCACTTGAAAAAATACGAAACTTATTTCTGAATGGATTAACATTTATTTTTAATTGGTTACCATGTTTGCGCAAATGATAACTCTCAAATAAGGAACGCGACTGATGTATCGTCGATTCTGACGCAGACAGTCGACACTGGCATCGGTTGGCCAATAAAGAACTAGAAGAATCCCTCTCGTACCATTGGAATACGAAAAAAGCGAAAAATGTGATCCTCTTCGTCGGGGACGGGATGAGTCCGGATACCATAACAGCTAGCAGAATTTATCATGGCGGCGAGACCAGTAGACTCGCATGGGAACATTTTCCCCATATCGGGATATTGAAGGTCTCGATGAGGTTTTCATTAGACGTGATTCGTATCTCAAATCAAACTCATGTTTTGCACGTTTAAGATTTTCACGTGTTCGAATGTATCCTTTGCTGGTAACGCAGACGTACAACGTGGACAGACAAATCCCAGACTCGGCATCTACCGCTACCGCTCTCTTTGGAGGAGTCAAAACGAATTTCGAGGTCGTTGGAGTGGACGCCAACGTGCAGTTGGGAAATTGCCGGGCGAGTTTGAATGCAAATTATCACGTCGATTCATTTTTAGCGTGGGCGCAGGCTGCCGATAAAGCGACAGGTCAGATTCAAAGGTTCAGGCCAGAAAGTCTATCGCGTGAAGCTGTTTCAAAATTACTTGGAATAAGATGTTTTTGCGATCTTTCTCCTCCTGCTTTTGCCCTCTCAATTTTAATCAAAATTATTATACCCGGCATAAAAAGTTTGCGGGAACAATACAGATATTTCAATGTAACAATGGAATGTTACATTGCGAAATATTTTTGCAATGTTGTTGCAAAATTGCAGTAACATTAAAATATTCACTTTATCAGTATTACATCCCGCATAACAACAATCTTTCAATTACACTAATGTACGATTGCAATCTTGCTGCAATGTAATTGAAAGGTTCTGCACTGTACTGGATGTTATGTAATGCAATGTAATTACAGTAATCTTCCAATATAACATACTTGTAATAATGCAATGCATTATTGCAAATGTATTTATAAAAATGCAGTTATATATACAGTTGCTTTTTTCTTAATATTTATATATTTCCTAAATTGCCTTATATATACAGTACAGTTACAGATATTACTTTATGTATGATGAGAATAAGTTAATAATTTAATTAATTAAACAATAAAATAATTGGATTTGAATAATTTAATTTGTACAATTCAAAATTTTATTTATAATATATGAAAATTAAACTCTATTTTATATCTTGAGTAAATAATAAACGAATGATTTTCACTCTTTTGGATATTTATCTGTCTGGTCGAAATCATTAATTCAATATATAAATTTGAATTGCTGTATTGAAATTGTATTAAAAATTAAATGAAGATAAGAATAATCAATATACTTTTAATTTGTTGCTAACCTGTTTTTTATGTAATTTTTTGTCTGAAATATAAATATACGAGATAACTGGCATATCACATAACGATAAACAAACTAATGATTATAAATTATTGCATTTTTGCATTTTTCTAATTTTTCTGGAATGTCACTGTGATTTTCTGATGAAATATTACAGTTATGTATTTCTATAACGTTTCTCTATAATATTGCGTTGCAGCTTGTAAAATTATTACATAATATAACTAAGATGTTCTGTGCTATATGAATACGTTAGTTGGCAATTATTTTTAAAAATTTTCAAGTAAAAGTTAAAATTTTGTTTTCGAATAAATAAAATGAATCGGATTTTTCTTCGTATATTTGAATAATAATTAAATAATTTCCTAATTCGTGAAAAATAATTAACTGCAGGTTTCGTCACGACTACCAGAGTGACTCATGCGACTCCGGCACCGCTTTATGCGCACTGTGCGAATCGCAGATGGGAGTGCGAATCCAAAATGCCTGAAAACGCTGCCAACTGTAAAGATATCGCCAGACAGTTAGTAGAGGATGAACCCGGAAAAAACATTCGAGTAAACAAAAAATTACTCATGTACTTTGTTCCGGGCGATGATTATACAAGACGGATTTGATATGACATTGAACTTCTCTGATAGGTGATTATGGGCGGTGGAAGACAAATGCTAAAGTCCAATGTGAGCGCCAGCGAATTTGATCCGATAGATTCCTGGGCTTGCTACAGACAAGACGGTCGTGATCTCATCACCGAATGGATACGGGACAAGTCCAGTAGAGATTTAGCTTACAGCGTTGTTCAAAATAATGAGGAACTGTCTCGGCTCGATATCGATAAAGTGGATTATTTACTCGGTATTTTCGCCAATGGTCACATCGAGATGGACTGGAAGCGCGAACGAGGTCCGAAGGGACAACCGAGCCTGGAAGAGATGACAGTGACGGCATTACGAATTTTACAAAAGTCCAAACAAGGATATTTCTTAATGGTATCTCGCATGCTAGTCTTATCGTCCGGGAAAATCCAAATATGATCGTGCGATTCTTTAAGGTCGAGGGCGGAATGATTGACTTTGCCCATCATCGCGGCCACGCTGCTCAAGCTCTGCTGGAAACCATCCGGTTCTCGGACGCCGTCAACGCCACTCTTAGAATGATCGACACGGAGGACACCCTCGTGATAGTAACTAGCGATCACACGCACTCGATGAACTTTAACGGATATAGTCCTCGCGGTTCGTCCATCCTGGGTAAGATCGAGATTAAAGATCCCCCATTCCTTCTCGTTCTCATGAGAAATCATTTCAGAAATCGCTCAGAAATCTAGATACGATGGAATACCGTACACAAAGTTGTCTTACAGCACGGGCGGCCCAAACAACTTTGCTTACACGGTGAATAATGATAGTCAAGCTGTGAGGATCGATCCTTCCAAATTCAATACTACGGATTTTACTTACAGCCAACAAGCCACAATCATATCGGACGAAGCTTATCATGGCGGTGGAGACGTGGCTGTGTACGCTATAGGTATACATCGCTCTAATTAGATATCATGAAATATAAGAGCGCAGTTAAGTGGCTTCGCTCTTAGAAAGCTCTCGATGCGAAACAAGACTTGGAATTCTAAATCATATCATTTAAAAAATGTCATCTTTTTCTTCTTCAGGCCCGCACGCCCATCTTTTTCACAGCGTGCACGAGCAGAATTATGTGGCGCACGTGATCGCATATGCAGCAAATGTCGGCGAATATTTTAATAGCGCCGCGATATCGCATATTCGCCGTCTAAACGTGATTATTTTATATGGTCTAATCTCGTGGATTTTAATCGCATACAAATAAACCTATAAATATCTATTAAAAGCGGATTATCAGTTTTATTTTCGTAAGAAATGATATATCCATAATATAAGTATACACACTGATATGTGGTATTCTCAATTTACATAACAATAATTAAGTGGTATTGCAAGTGTCCGCGAGATGTATCACTTGTTCTCCACTCCATCACAGACTAACTTTCAACGGACATAGTTCCGAGTTTCTACATAAACGTATTCCGTTGAACTCCTTGCTTGAGCAATTTTGCAAATCTACCGTATACATTCTCACTCGCACGTTTTATTATTTACAAATATATACGTTAAAAACAACTCTCAGTCTTATGCTACGTAGGATGCAAAAGTACTACTTGCGATGTTTATCTTATAAAAAATCCAAGAATGCACGTGTTCCTTCAAGGCTACTTGAGAAGGAGATTAAGATTATGTTTTTACTTAAATACGTTATTGCAATTAAGTAATGTAATTGTACTTAAGCCTGTCAAGGATGTGTCTCCTTCGTGAATCCTATTTAATAGCGTTGATACTATATAAAAAAAGAAGAGAGTACCGATGTAAAAATCAATGATTAAATATTGCGTCAAAAAAGAAATCTTAAAAAAATAAATGGGAGACAAAATTGTCGGATTACGCGAACATTTGTCGAACACTCAGACAAAACTCCGGATTCTCTCAGTTCTTTAAATAGCGATGAGACGTGGGATCACTGTACTTTTTTCCTCTCGTTGTGCAACGCGGACTCGTGTAGCAATACCTTGAGCGCGATGCCGCCGAGGAAGAGCATCGACGTCATCAGGAAGATGAAGCCGGGCGTGTACTTGCCGAAGATCGTCAAGCTGCAGAGGGCCAGCATCTGGAAGCCTAACAGTAATGGCACGAGATACACTGCTGCGACTAGGAACAGAGGATGCGGTTTGCGTTTCGGCTTTTCGAATCCTCCGAGGCTAGCGGTGAGTTTAGTGAAATCGTCAGGCTTCGCGATTGTCTTGATCCTTTTGTCTTGATCCTCGACGTGAATTTCGCGCAGTTGGCGTAGATTTTCATACGCGATGAGGAGACTGATGGTGATCTCGCGGAGAAAATGGCTGAGGCTGACGTGTACTTTACGCACTAGCGGATGCGACTTGGAGTTATCGAAGGAGTAGAGGAGATACGGCAGCAGATTCATATTCTGGCAGCAATGGCGGATCTTTTGCATCGATGCGTGTCGGAATAGCATCGGTGGACCGCTGTAGTTTCCATCTGAAGAGAGAAACACTTATAATCAGCATGGACGACATGACGCGTTTATTATCATTCGTGCTGACGATAAACTGGATGAGATATTAGTTGAGCAGATGTATCTCCAGTTTAGAAAATAAATTTGCTCATAATTGTTTGATGATAAGCGTGTTTTAACATGTAAATATAGAAAGAGTTAGAGTTAACGAAAAGAAATGATAAACTTGAAATCTTGTATATTTACCCTTAAACATATCGGATACTCGTCTGGCCAGAGTCGGTTTCCTTTGTAGCACATCTTTTTTCTCCATGATTCCCGACATAATCTGCGACACGATTTTCGACGAGTGCGTTTGCTTTGTAATCTGAACGATCCTCAAAATAATCTTCCTTTAGGAAATATACTCAATAATGAATTAGCTGAAAAAGAAGTATAAATAGTTAGTAATAATTAATTTATGAATATATAAACTTTCACGGACAATTGCAAGAGACCAAATATTAAAACAAATATACGAAATTAACTATGATGAGAAATACAGGTAATTACCGATCTTTAATGACAAGAATTCTTGAAGATGAATGAGAGTTTCAGTCAGTACTGAAACTATCCTCGTCGTTCGTTTACGTCAAAGTTGCGTTATAAAAGAAAAGATACGATAGCCTTGTCGACCCGAGATTAAAATTCATCACATAAATTTCACGTAGTTCAGCATTATTCAAAATACAGTTTTACTCGATTGCAAATTTCTTTTTCTTATTCTGGAAACTGCGTTTTATAAACCGGTTTTAAAGTTCTAAATAATTTACGTCTCATAATCTGTAATAACCTTTCATTTTTTAATTTTGCACACAAACTAATGTCAATAAAATTGACAAATTAATTGAAAAATAATTGTTTAATATTAATTAATTAAAATTTATAAAAAATTAGTGCCATTTTATTCGTTACAAAGTATAAATTAATGTAATATATTAGTGCATTATTAAAAATATTTTATTGAATTAAAAGATTTTTTTATTTGCAATCGTTGGTCAAGAATTTTAAAAAAAATTTCATTTTAAAGAGAAAGTGATTGTCGATGCTGTTTAAACTTCATATATTTTTGTATTTTTACAAAATTAATACAAGTGACTTGTTATTCACTGACTAAATGCGACAGTATCATAAACTAGGATGATTAAGCGTTGGAAATTGTTATATCGTTATTTTTCTAGGAACTGAATCATTTATCGAAAAATATAAAAGAAAATTAAATGCTGTTTTTAAATAACATAAATTACTTATCAAAATGCAATAAATTGTAAATGTCAAATAAATTACAATATAAATAATTAACTATTACTGAATAAAAAAATAGATAATAAAATTTGAACTTGATGCCAAGTAAAGTGGCAAATATTTTTTTTCAGAGCTTATAATTTTTTGAATAATAATCACGATATGCTCAGATATATATGTATACGATGCTTAGTATTGATTAAAGAATCCATGATATGTTAAACACTTATCCTAGCGTTGTAAATAATACCTAAAATTAAAAGTAAAATTTCGCTCGAGTCCATTTCAATGATTATTGTTGAATAGAATGATATGAATTGCCCTAATGGAACGAATATAAAAGCCAAGGTCTCTGCAATTCGTTTTGTCGAAACGCATGCATTAAACCGCTCACCTCAATGTTTACAGCTGTCACTGATGGACTGAAGGACGCTTGGCCACAGAAAGGTTCAGCTTGTCTCGTACAAGCGATTATAGACTACGAACTAACTGTACTTCTTGTAGAGATTGAAGATGATGGGAAACTTGCCCATTATGGGAAATATGCCCATTCTTCGCATCGCTTTTTCAACGAACGTTAGCGATCGATAATGCAACACACCCGGCTGGAAGAACTCGAGTGCTGGGTATGCTTGCGTCTCGATGTTCGCTCAGCTACTAAACCGGCTCCGCTGGTGTCTCGACTAACAACTACCAGCCACCACCATCCACCTCCATCGACTCCGACCATGATTAGGAACGTGAATCATCGCCGAACCAATCCGACCAGCGACTTCCGTTGGAGCTAACGTTAGATTGGCTCGGCGATCGATCAAACTGCGATGGTCGAGATACAATTTTCTCATGAATAAAGAAGGAGAGAAAAAGGGTCGTCGACGCGAGGAAATACACGATCACGCAAACGTGTCTTCTGACACGCATGTACTCTCGCGGTCTGATTAATATCCGCCGTCGATGGTATTTTTGATGGAATTATACTATGACGGAAATAGGATTTGCGTCGTCAAAGATTTTAAAATACAACATGAAATAATTGATGAATGATTGACAAGTCATTTTTGACTGCATTTATTGTTATCCTTCTTTTCAATATTGGTTGTTTTAACAGGTGTTCAAGCAGTGATATTATTTTATTTTAAGTATATTATTTTTTATAAGTTTCCATTTACCGTTAAAATTGATGTTGATTTGATGTTGATGTTGATGTTGATGTTGATTTGGAAATATATGAATACACATATATTTCAAGCATCAATTTTAAGAGTAAAATAAGAGCTTCCTAGTTTTGGAAAGATTATATTTACATAAAAAACATAGTAATGGAAATTATATTATTTATGCCTCACGAAATAGTTGAAATATTGCATCATGACCTGCAAAATGTTAAAAAATACTTCCAGTCTTTAAATGCGCAAATATATTGCGAAGCCACTCTATAAATAATAATGGTCTTTACTTTTATTTTGCATTTCTGATGTAATACGAATATCTGTAAGTAGAGAGGTAAAAGGAATTCTGCTGCGATGGGAATAAAAAATGCGTTCGTTGCAACAGGTTCAAAGACTTTAAAAATCTACAAAGATTTTTCTATAGGATGTATCGATTTTGCTTGTTGATACACGCGGACTATGCGTGACCAGAGAAGAGGCAATCCATCCGTAGATAGCTTATAATAAAGTTGCGATAATAATATATCTCATCATTTTAGTAGTTTTGTCAACAAATTGGCAGATGTATATTGATTTCGTAGAAAAAAATGAGTAGATTTCGGAAAAACAATTGTAAAATTGATGCAGGTCATTCATTGACCTCGCTTTTTTTCAAGGTCTCCCGACACGCATCGTATGTGACGCATTGCGTGCTCCACTATGACTGTTCGACGAAGAGATTCAGGTCGTTCCACAGTAGACACAACAATGTTAATGCGCGATATCTTATTTAAATACGGATATGTTTTTTTGTGCAACAATTCGGTTCTCCAATCACTTGCTTGTGATGTATCGGGCACGAGGAACAATATTGGCGGAAAGTTACCGTTATATCTGATAAGAGTGGCTGTCCTTTTCCAATGTATTTTTCTTTCGACTTGTTAGATTTTTGACAATTCTGTTAATTAAGTCTCTAAAAATAATCTTACTCCCTCTGTTATGTCTGCTTAATTCAAAAGAAAACAAATAGGAAAAAAGAAAATAACACACGTGCATCTGGATTTGTTTGTAAATCGATTGGCCCATGTTTTGACCGTATTTTGCAGAAATCATCTCAAACTTTGCATCGTATGCGCGAAAAATACATGCAAAATATTTTTCGATGCCAGGTGAGTTTTATAATTATAGTTGGATTGATTTTTTTAATCCGTTGACATACATGTTTTTGTCTTAAAAGTGTACACACCTAACTTATCAGATGCTGAAAACAAGTGTACTTCTCCAACTGTCCAAAACACGGAAAAATCTTTAAGAAAATTGCAAAGGTCCATAACATCAGAATTGTCGAAAATAATTAATTTATTTTTATAAAAGAGAGAAAAATGGATAATAAAGAAGCAAACTCTCTCGGTTAAACTTGATATAATTGCATAGAAATATCTCTTGGGTACGCTTATGAACAAACTCTTCATCGACGCCTGGTAGTCTTTTGCAATAACTTTCCTCCCACTTCTCGCTACTCTATTTTTGTAATTTTTCCTTTTTTTGTTTCCCCGCGGAATCTGCGGAGTCGATGACAACGCAAGAAGCCAAATGGCCAGTCTTTTTGCGCCTTACAATTATATTCACTTACGTTCGCAGTCCATGTTAGAATCTACGAATATCGAATTGATTCGTTATCTGTCCGTCGTGCTCAGCATGTGAAGAAATGCAGAACTGACAGTTTAAATGATAATGAGAGGCGAAATGCCGGGGAATGATGTAATTCAAAGCAAGGTCAATGCTAGGCAAAGTTTTGGCGATGAAAATAACAATTCGCATGATAACAGTCGTAAATAATAATGATCGTAATTTATTTGTAACGCCTTTGAAAATCATTATCTGGTCATATTCAGACGATAAATGTGACTGTGAGAGTACTATCGAAGTAAAAAAATTATATAATTTGTCGACTACATGCAAGAAACTTTGCTCTCTACTTTTAAAAATTATATTTTCATGATTTGCTCTCTGTTACATCTTCTGCTCTAGTGTTTGTGCAATAGATTTATTTTGCAGTTTCTGTGGCATATATATGTATATAAAAAAGGCTAGTTTTATTCTCGGTAATAGACGATGAGAGACGAATTTCTACAAAAACTTAAGATCATAAGATTCTAAGTTCTTTTCTATAATAAGAATCATGAAATAGTAAGAATCATGAAAAGGGCGAACTATGGACTCACGCTCATACCACGTGTATCCCCCCCCATTGATCATCAACCTCTAACACGAAATGATCACGTGTTCGGGAAATTTGTATCCACAGCACATGATAGGATAACTTTTACAAGTTGTACGTTGCATTTAAATTGCAATATATGTAAATACTATGTATCTTTCCCGGCGCAATTTTGCAAATTTTTTTCCAATTTTGTGACATTGTAAAACAAATGCATTACTAGTTATATCAATACCAAAAGAATTAAATTTTATTCTGTGAAAGAGATTATTAGAAAAAAAATAAACTGATAACATCGATAGCATTATTCATTTTTTAATTTCTCCTTTTAACTTCGTTTTTTAGACTGTAAAAGATGAATAATAAAAAATAGACTAATAATAACTAATTAGACTAATAATAATAAAAAAACTAAAAAAGACTAATAATAATAAAAATTAAAAAAACTAATAATAATAAAGATTATAAAAAATGAATAATGTAATTCCTGTTATAAGAATTGTTAATTTGTCTTTTCCACTCATTGTAAATATTAATAATTATATTAATGTAATAATATTATATTTCAATATATAAAATTTATTATTTTTTGGCTTGTAATAATATGATTTGATACACACACGCACACATATGTGAGTCACACATGTTTATTACCTTGTTTGCAAACTCTCTCGATTATTGCACTTGGCATTTGACGAAATCAAAGTCAGTTATGCTGATCATGATATGCGATGTGTTATTTAATTCAACGTCTCACCATAATGTATTCTTCGCTCGTCGATGTATAACGCACACATTTGCTTGACGTAAAAGTCTGACCAAATTACGATCTATTATGTCATAAGCGAGGGAGCCGGAACACGAAGATCATTTCATTCATGGATCGAAAAATTAATCGTAAATTAATGGCAAGTGTCAGAGACAATAAATCCACATCTGTTTTTATCTACTACATCTCTCTTTTCCTTATTACAATTATTTTATCGTTGATCGTTTCAAACCTTGTAATATGTTTAACTTATCTCAATAGACGGTATGAGAGCAGAATAGTTACTCATGAAAAGCATGGCAACGAAACGTAATTGGAAAATTGAAAAACAACTTTAGCTTACTTTGTGCGCGAAGTATAAAGTCATATTGATTATCTAGAATTTAATCTAGACTCTCGATTGATCTAGAATTTAATCTGGAGAATCTCTTTATCTCTTATTCAAAATAGTAACTAGGACTCTTGTCAGTCTAGAAAGTGAAAAAAATTACATGAATAATAAATTATCACAAGCTTGTGTTTTTTATACATTAAAAATACAAGCTTATGATAATTTATTATTTATGTAATTTTTTAAACTCTTGAATAAATTTAAAAATTTATTTTATTTAAATCTTAAGTAGCACAAAAACTGAAAAATCTACATAAATCTTAATGTCCTCGTTTAAATTTATTTCTAGCCTTGATCTTTTAACCTTTAGTATTTTACGAATCCGGTTCTAAGTTTGATGCACAATTATCAGAATTTATCTCAAATTGGTGAAAAATACACGTGCTATCTCGACCGTATTTTAATAAATTAAACGGCAGTCGAGAATATCAATTATTATTTAAAATTTCCATCAAGACTGTCTTTGATGTTTTTTCATTTCCTTCTTTTGAAATGAAACAAACATCGTGCTCATACGATATTTTTGCGATATATAATTTTTACAAATGTGTCTTGTATACAAAATATAATAAATTGCAGTGTTTTAATGCGATTAATATCTCTGCTGCTCATACGATATTTTTTGCGATATATAATTTTTACAAATGTGTCTTGTATACAAAATATAATAAACTGCAGTGTTTTAATGCGATTAATATCTCTGCTGCATCGGGAGCTCTCTGTAGAATAGGCGAATTCAAATATGCAACGTTGGCATCAATACAACGAAATGAAAAATAAGACTCTTGTTATTTCACAAAAATATTGAATAAGAATCGTTGAATTGTTGGACAATCGATTTTTAGTATACAGATCCTTTTATCATGCCAATTAAATTCTTACATTAGTTTTTTTCACGAAAAATCAACGCGATACGGCAGGAGAGCGCGGATTGAATAGGAAGTGCCTGAGAAAACGGAAACATACAAAGAGGATACATGTCTCATCTCAATTACTATAAATATTTTTACTTCTTGAAAGCAAAATCACAGCTACATAAAATGTGGTTTCATAATCATTAATATAATAATAATAATAATAGTAATAACGCCCACACGTCCGTCTTGTAGATGCATAAGCTACAAGGCGGACCTGACGGACAAATAATAATAATAATAAAAATAATAATAATAATAGAGAATAATACACAGTTTAATGCCCGCATGCTCGCCTTGTAGGTTCGAAGGCTGCAAGGCGGGTCTGACGAACAAAATTAAACATTAATAATAATAATAATAATAATAATAACCTAATAATAATAGATAATATTATATAATAGTTTTGTTTCTCTTAGTTTCATACATCAACTATTTTAGCACTAACGGCCATACGCGATAGAATCTCTCTAGCTTCTTCAAATAATAATACGCTCTACTGGTATACTCCTTCGCTTCATTCTCGTTTTACTTCCGTCGTCGTTTTCGAACGATATATAACCACGTATATATATATATATATATATATATATATTTTTTTTTATATTATATAATAATATATATAATAATCTTCATATAAAAATTATATATATTATATATAATAAGGGGAGGGGAAGAGGATTTCGCGAGATACATTTCTAAGACAGCCACCGTACACATCTCGTTATTAATAGCTCTCTCTCTCTCTCTCTCTCTCTCTCTCTTTCTTGTGTTATTCGATTTCTCGCAATTACTTTGAAAGATGAATCTTTCATGCTTTTTCCCCATTTTTTTCACGCATGTCCGTTCATTTCCTAAATGTTAAATAAATATTATACAGATTTAACTATCGACCACATGCCCACTCTTTCGTATAGTCCCGCGCAAGTGTCTCTCTCGACTTAACATAGTAAAACTGTAGTTCGACTTTTCTTTTAGCACTCGACTTTTATAGTTTTATGGCACTCGTTTAATGGCTGGACTCTATAGCCTCTCCACGTTCCCGATGCGAACGATACCTTCGTCTCCAAGCTTTCTTCTTCTTGTTTCGTCGAGATTGATGTTTGCCTTGATATCGCGTTACATCGATATGATACGCGACACCGCGAGAGAGCGATGAACTCCCTTCGCGATTTCCTTATTAAACTGCACCATAAGTGAATGACGCACCGTCGACGTGGACAGGATCAATGACCATCGATTCGCTATAGAATGTTACTATTGTAATATTTAAAGAAGACTACTGTAATATTTAAGAAAAATTATCAAGAGCGTGTTGCACATTAAACATAACATCATCGAGTTACGTAATGTCAAGTGTTCTTATGTGAATTTTAAATGTCAACAGCAATCCATGACGATTATTACTCCATTTAAAATTTATATAAGAATTTATATTTCATGTTAACGTGACAGGATGATGTCACGTATAATACGCAATACGTTTAAGGATATCCATGAATAAGTCCATTCTCGGCTCGTTTTCAAAAAAGATTTGTTCGATCGATCACATGAAATATAATCGATTCTTCTTGCTTGACTATATTTATCGGTTTTAGTAAAATGAAAAATCGTGATGATCAAGAATATATGATTTTCTCTCGCAAAATTAAAAATTTTAAAAATTATTCTTGTCGCTCGTATTATTGTTTCAAGAAATGTTTTTTTCTTTATGACAGTGGGTCATATGGATGAGATATGTCCAATTAAAATAAACAATTTTCTCATTATTACTCATAATATTCATTTTCATACATAGCATTTTATATAATTGTTCACAGTTATTGCCGCTAACATAATTGATACTCCTTTGAGACAGGACACATTTTCGACGATGAAACACGACTTTTCATTATGATACTTTTGATATGTGATATCTTTCGATAGTTTTTTTCTCCTCCGTTTAAGAAATTACTTACATCTTTGTCGGGATGAGGACGGGGGAGGAATGTGAACTTTACACAGTAAAAACGCACATGTTTGTGGAAACGGTATCTTTTTGTGATTTAAAATTCATGGTCGGCCAATGTCTACGACGTAAATTAGAATATGGACCGACAACTATTATCATCCAATACGACAAAAGAGACAAAAAATTGTAGTGATATCTCTTAATTGGAAACAGACACATTCACGTTATGATGATATAAATTGTCTGAATTTCTTCATTTCGATAGGATAAATATTTTTGCTACTTATGCAACAACGCGAGTTTTTTCGCTTTTTTATCGAAAATGTTAATTACAGTGCGCACGTAAAAACTCGGCAACAGCTTCTCTCTCTCCACCACAATTCTAAAAAATTCCTTCAGCTATTGTATGTTATTCTCCAAAATTTATATTTTATACGAAGAATCAAGTTATTGATGATGATAAATTGTTGATGATAAAGTTAAATAATTTTTTCTAAAACAGTAAATGTAAATGTTTTGTGAGAAAAAAAAAACATTTTAAAAAGGTTAAAATAATCATTTATAAATATCGACGACTGTATTTTGCGGTGCTTTATCTAGTTGAAGTATCTTTAAGGCACTAATTCTTCCGGTTGCTAAATCTACGATCGTTTTCCGGTTCAGTTGATTAAAAGTAAGTCCATAAAAGTTTCTAATCCAGAAACTTTATAATCATCGGATTGGATGATCGGCCAGACAATTGTTATCTTTAAAAAATGTTATCTTTAATTTCAAAAAATTAAGATTTAGTCTTCGATCAATCTTTCTAATAAACGATCAACTGTAATTGCGATAAAATTTGATAAAAATACTGCTCCGAAATTCGATCATAGCTACAAGTACAAGATATAGATCTAACAGTGTATCTTGATTTGGTTTGTCTTTCCTTCCATATTGAACAAATAGCTTTTTATGTGTCTGTTGTATGTTAAATCGCTAAGGCACGCTCCTACAAAATTCGGAGAAAATCCTAAAAAGGCACCCTAGCGCGTCTCTCACCGAATAATTATGTAAAATTTTCCATGCTACTTTAATTATCTGTCGAGAAAATATACGTGTATGTTTGTGTGTCTCTACTCGTCTCTATAACATACATACATTTAAAACATACATGTTAAACTCTCCGGATACTCCTTCATCACTTTCATCCGCCATTATCTCCCTCTGTCATATGTGCAAATGAATCAAACCTATCTCGTTTTGAAAATAGAAGATAAATTCAGCAAGTTAATATTTCTTTCATTCCTTTTTTTCATTTCTCTCTTCTCTTCGTTTCATTTAAAAATGGGAGAAAGCGACAGGAAATTCGCGGCGAGGTTAAAACGTGCGGAAATAAATTTCGTAAAAATTTCGTTTAAATGAAAACGGACAGAATTTTATCATCATTAAGCGTGCTTTAGAAATTGAAGCGCGAGAAGTCTGTGGTATTCCTCCCTCCAACGATTCGTACCAATCTCACAATATATACATATACACTATACACACATAAATTAAACAGTTTTGCATTAGTGACCATTTTTTTAGAATATATTTCAAATATACTTTTTTCTCTCTCGCGCACATACATAACTTTTGTCCTCTTTTGACTCTCTTTTTCTTTAATTTGATCGTTCAACGACCGTCGCTCTGTCTCATTTTATCTCCACTCTTGTGTCTCTTGGCTCGCAGTCTTTCTAATTAAACTCTCAATTTATCAATACTAATATTCATCGCGTACCCTCCAGAACGTAATTCAGCCCGTAAAAATACATGTGTTATTTTTGTATTTTATCACGAATATTGAACGTTACAATGAATTATCGTTAACTGCAGTCAACTTTTAATTATATCGAATATGATTAAAATTAAATAAATAATTGACAACTATTGCGGCAGCAAAATTTATGCAAAATGACCTCCCAGAAATTTGTTCCCCTTCTCTCTCTTGTCATGAATATAAAAAATATTAGAAAAAGTATTCAAAGACATCACAGAAATATTTGTAGCTATTATTAAATTTTTCCGCGTATCAATTGTGCAATAAGGACGCTAATAACGCCGAGAAAACGCAACAGGCGTTTTTTAACTCTGCAGTCTAGACGATAAGAAAGTGTTATCCTCCCCTCAGTTGTTTCATTCTGATTAATCGCGTTAATCTTCGCTATTCTCGCAATTATCGCTGTTTTCTATACTATTTCATGCCTGCTTTATGCTAGATGCAGTGCACCAAGCTATTTTATGATCTAAGGACTATTCACGCGGAGGGTACACAAGATGATACTAACGAAGGGAAAAATGTACAAGGTTTCTTGCGTTTCTTTTTTCTATTAAATATTATAGTTTGTCTTTTTCATGCTAAAGCTACTTTATAGGCTTGTCTTCGTATTATTGTCTTAGGTACTACGCCACGTTCTCACGTTCTTCATTTTCGTTCCTTCCGTGACAAAAGTCATGGATCGGAAAAAATTATGTATTCTGTGAGATTCGACTACATAAAAAAAACCTTGTGACTCTTTCGGTTATGAATTTTTCACGCATCAATATTCTTATTCGTATCAATGGAAGTGTTTCTAAAGGGAAACGATCAGTCTCTTCTTTCTGAAGAGACTGATCGTTTCCCGATTTTTCATCGTCCACGTCACTGCTCAGACACGAAGTACGAAGAGACCGAATCACCTCAACGTTTACTCGACATACTATCGCGGATGTAGTTTGATTCGAAGGTTTCGAACGTATCAGTATGCATCCCGAAGATAAACGTTATTGACTAGCCCCCTACCGGTTGCCACTGACCATCCATATTACCAGGAACATTGCTCGATCGTGAAGGACCGAGGCTGATCTTTCGGGGAATGTCTATAGGGACTAGGAATTTGTCTTTTTAACGGATCTCGTCCGGAATCGCGACGTCCGCGACCTTTTCTCTCGCGAAACAATCATCGACGGTGGGCATCGAGTTGAAACGAAGTCGTTGACTAGCCCCCTACCGGTTCCGCTCAATCTTTTTCCACCTAGTCGGGGGAAGATGGCCGCGCCATTCTCTAAGGAATGTCTACAGGGACCAAGATAATGCTTTATTCGAGCATCCTGCCGCGCGCAGGACTTTTACGAGAGATCGTTAAGTGTCCATGTGTCGGTACTTGTGCGCCGACATCTGCGCCAGACCCAACACCGCGTATTGGCACTGCAAGCAGTGATAATGAGTCTGCTTGCCCGAGTGCTGACACTGTACGGCCCCGCAGGGTTGACTGGGGGTGAACTTTTGGAAACCCGCCGCCGCGATGCTGTCCAACTTGGCGTGCTGCCGTCGATGAGCCACCACCTTGTTCGTATCCGTGCAAACAAAATCGCACTTGAGACAATGAAAGTGCGAGGCCTTGTTTTGCATCGAACCCAGGGACGATGTATACGCGCACTGTGCCCTACCGCAGGGCACGTTGGCCCGATATTGCTGAAAATCACCGCCCATCAAGGTATCTAACCGCTCGTGCCTCGCGGTATGTTGCACGAAACGAGTTTTGTCGCAGAACGAATAACCGCAGTCTTGACGCATACAGTGAAAGTGTGTCTGATGCTCCCTGTAACCACAATGAGGATACCTGCAGTCCTCGTTGAATCTGAATCTGTAACAACGGAGAAAATTGAATAAAGTCTCTCGAGCTACTCATTCGCAAAAAAGCGTCATGATACCAACCTGACATATCCTTCGGGCACAGGTTCGTCCTTCAGCATACGCATCGAATGATGCAGTCTTTGCTTCTTAGCTTCCGGCGAATTGTTATCCGGTGGTGAGAGAGATCTCTTGGTCAGATTAAGATTGGCCGCCAGCGAGGCCAGCGGATTCTCGTCTCTCGCGGGAGGAAGAAAGTTTGCCGGCGGTAAACCGGGTGCGAACATCAGTCCGGGTCCGCCCGCGTACATTCCGCCGTGTTGCAGAAACGGCGGTAGAGCCTGATTCATCAGGGCGATCTGTTGGTTCATCGCAGCCATCACTGCTGGGCTAGGAAAGTGAAAACCGTGGCCGAGATCGAGCTCGAAGTTCGCCTGCATGGTGGGCTGTTGCACGTTAGTAGGTTGAATCGGCGGTTGCGGCAGTTGACCGTTCTCGTGGCTATCCATCGCGGAATTGTTGCCATCGTCCCTGCTGGCAACCTCGGGCGGTTCCCGCTTCACGTTCGGGACATTTTGCACACCGATATCGGTGCTGCACCTCGGTTTCTCCAGCTTGATATCCTTCGATTGAGACTGTTGACCCAGAGTCTGCTGCATCTGCCGTTGCATTTGACTTTGAAAGTTCTGAATGTTCTGAGCTATCTGAGTGTTCGGCGACATAAAGTCATGCTTCTGCGACAACTGCGCCATGTAGTCGTGTTGCAGCTGATTAGGCGACGGGCTAACCATATCGTGTTGCTGCTGGCTGAGAATCGCGCCGGTCGAATGCTTCGCTATGTGCGCGACCAAACGATCCAATTCGGAGAAGGCTTGATTGCACGCGTTGCAGTGGTAATGATTCTTGCGTTTCAGCTTGCAGAACGGCCTGCTACAGCTCTGTTCCGGTCCGTAAAGAGTGTGCGGCGAGGTGGAGCTCATAGACGGCATAACTGGTGGTTCTACAACGTTCAAGATTTATTTGTGAGATCGAATCGGATCCTTGCGAGCGCGAGATAACAACGAGGAAAAACTAACTTTACTGATACGAGAAACACTCTCACAAAAGCCTAAAAACTTGATACAAGAGAGACGAACCTTGGTGCACGGAAGTTCGCATGGATAGCACGACGCCCGGAAGTGCGGGTTCGCTCGGCGGTCCGCTGACCGGATAATAGGTGCCAGCCGCCCTCACCACTAGCAACAATCAACCAAACAACCAACACTTCAAATATTACCGCCCGCTATACAACCACCGTGTATGTACAGTATATATACATCGAGAGAGAATAAAACGATAAAACAAACAGTCTCGTGAAACAAAACAAACAACGGAGTAGTAGCGAAGAGTGTTCTACTTCAACAACAAATGCAAGGTGTGTGACGACGTGTAAATTGTTGTGCGCGCAGAATTGATTACGTGCAAAAGAACATGCATATGTACTCAAGTAGCAGAAAGATCTCTGTCGTGTTCTTTCCTCGAAAAAAATCACTACCAAACGAAACTTGTTTATAGATTAAGATCGGAATCGAAATCGTTTCGCGATCCTTATTTTCATACTTACCGGTAGTTTTGCCACTATCGGGACTCGCGAGCTCGGATTCTTTATCCTCGATCATCGACCTGCTCTCCTGATCGACCGTCATCAAGTTCTCGTCGGGTTTTTCGATCAGCTCGGCAGGATTCTTCACCTGAATTCTAGGCTTCGTCTCCTGGATCAATGACTGAGGTTGCGTTTGACATTCTTGATTACTCAATTCCTGACCACACAGTTCGGCGCGATCGGAATGCTGCTTCTCGTGTAACGCCATCGTCGAGTACCTGACGAACGAATATCCGCAATTCGGTCTGGTACAATGAAAGTGCCGATTAACGCGATTACTGTGGCAGCCAACCAGACGACAATCGACCATCTTATCGTAGAAAGCGAAGCCTGGCGGTATGTCGACGTTGTCATGAAAATCCTTGCTGTGCATGAGCAACTGATCCGGCCGATCGGTAAAGAAATGACATCGTGGTTGCGAACAATGATGATGCCTGATTGATCTAAGAATGCAGGCTGCGTCTGGGCATCCTTCCGGATTGTAAGTGGCGAATCCTTCGGGCTCGCCCAAGCTATTCGAAGGCGATACGCTACCTTCTCGATCCTCCAGCAACGGATTCGACGTTAAATTTGAAGTTTGCGGCTTAGGCAGCTTGAAACTCGTAAAGATCGCCTGTGGCGAATCGTGCGTGTGAGTCGCGGGATCACCGCCCGACCAGATTTCGATCACCCGATTTTTCGGCGGTCTACCGCGCTTCCGCCTAAACATCGCGTCGATATTCGTCAGATGGGTCAAGGTGACGTCGGAGGAGAGGGCGTGCGAGGGACAGGAGAGATTCAATTGTCGGCTATACTCGTGGATTTTATAATGTTGCAATCTGCGGAACGGTTTGTCGGTCGAGAGTATCACTTCTCGGCAATTTTCCCAATTACAATGATAATGCTTCTCCTTGTCCGCATACGGACAGTTGTCGTCGCAGCCGCCTTCCTCGAAGAAGGCGTCCGTTATACGTTCCTGCGTCTCGTGTTCCTTTAGATGCTCCCTGACTTCGCGAGGATCCTTCAAGGTGGCTCCGCAGCGGTCTAATCCGCAATGATGATGTTCTCTGGCAGCGTTGCAGGCGCATTCCGCAGTGGCCGGTATCAGATAAGCCAATTCGGTAGCGGTGAGTTGTTGGGATTGCTGATGTTGCTGCTGCTGCTGTTGCTCGAGATTGACGGAACTTCCGCTGGCCGTAATGATAGGAGTCGTAGGAGCGGTGAGATCTATAGCAAGGTCGCTCGCGCTTTGAAAGGAATCGTCCAAGGAATAGTACGACGGAGAACCCCTGTCCTCGTTGGAGCTTTCACCGTTTAGACTCAACGACAAGCTTTGAGCGCTCAATTCGTCCGGCGCCCATGATCCTGGTGGACGAACACCACCCACGGCGCTGACTTGCTTGTACTTCCGATAAGCCAGTTCCGACTCGTGACGCTCGTGTTTCCGTTTGTGCGAGAATAACTGACCGGAGGAGTGCAGGACGTAGCTGCAGTGCGGTCGTATGCAATGAATGTGATTGCAAACCCGAGAAAATCGACACTGTTCGAAGGGACAGGCCTCCGATTTCATGAACTTTTTGAAACCATCCCGCGACAATTGCTCGTCTTTGATGTGGTAAGACTTGTGCTTGTCTGAAAAATAATAGAAACCTGTCGATCAAATTGTACAGCTCTAAAAGGAGGTGTATTGGATAAAAAAATATGTCGAAATATAAATCATTTTTCAGAATAAAATATCGATTTCAAACGTTCGACATGCGTGAAACGTTTTCGATTGACAATAACTTGGACCTAGAACGCAAAGTCTGCGTTAAGGATGCAAACATTAGTCATTTCTTACCTATATCGGCCTTATTTTTAAACGTGTACCGACATCCCGTCCGCCGACAGTGAAAGTGCGTAGTCCGTTGACCGGCGAACTGACAATACTCGGTCGCGCAATTCTCGGTGGCTCGAAATCGCTGGAAGCCCTCTTGTATGATGGCCGAATCTTTGCGGTGATAATTTGCATGCATCTGCACGTCCGACGTCGATATGTATACCTTGTCGCAATTCTCGTGAATGCAGTGATAATGGGTTTGCTTTCTATTGTGTGGGCAGGTTCGGCCGGGATGCTTCTCCGAGCAATCGTCTGTCGGCGAGTATCTCATGAAACCGTGCTGCAGGGATTCATCCCTCTTCTTGTGCCACTTGAAGTGCCTGATCATCTCCTCCTTCTTTACGAATACCCTACCGCTGCAGTCTAGACAATGAAAGTGCTCCCTACAACCCAGTTCCTTGCAATATGTGCTACCGCATTCCTGACCGGATATGTATCTCTTCACGTATCGGGAGTAATCGATGATCGGCTGAGAGACCGACGTCTTGGAACCGCTCATAAGAGAATCCGTCACCGGAGACATACTCTGCCTGATCAAAGCTGTAACAAGGCAAACAGAAATTTTTATTTTTGTCGAATTAAATCAATTTTTTCAATATATTTTATTGTACAATTATTTCGTAATTAAAAAGAAGAGAAGATAAAAATAAGATTTTTATTTCGCGGGATGGTTTCAAGATTTCTTTTTCTATTTTATTTAATTTATAATAAATAAATATATGCGCGTTGACATGATTTTAATTCGATGCACAGCCATCAACGCATTCGTGAAATATCGAGAAAGTCTAAATGTTGCGGCTTGAATTTTAAATTCAAACCTCGATGGGTTACAGAGTAGGGAATACAGCATAAACTGGACAGACATTCGATCGCTGGTACGTTATTCCTCGCTGGTACATGGTTCCTCGCAGGCAAACCGCGTCATTTTACCGACCGTGTTCCGAATCGCTCCGTTCTGGATAGTACTCTGGTTCGCATTCGCACCCACCGAAGGAGACACGCATGCCGGAATGACTTTTGATACACATATCGCGAGAGTTATGAGCGCACCGTTCGTCGACCCACGGGTCTCTCCCGCGCGCGACCGAAAACTGGTTGTCCAGGTTGCCGCGCCGCGAGATAAAAGAGAGGGCGAATGGAAGAAAAAGAGAAAGAAAAAAAAAGGAAGACAGGGTGCGGGAGAGGAAAGAATGGTCGGCGTAAAAAACTATCGGGCCGATCGCAATACGCGTATGCAAAAAAGCGCGGTGTGGCCGCGGGCGAGGCGAGGACGCGTAAGCATTTACCTCGGCTTGCTTCGTTCATAGCGCTCCTAAAAGGCCTGAAACGGCCGGGGCACGCAAGAAAATATTGAGCGCGAGACGCAATTCGGTTGACCAATCCTCGCTCGCGATAATTATCTCCCGAGGAGATGTAATCGCACGAGGAAAAAAAGGGAGAGAGAGAGAGAGAGAGATGAAAATAAATTGCGCCGTTCCCATTTTTTTTTTGCCTAAACGAATAATTTTACTGTTAAAGTCGTTTCTTCAGCTGGCGCATTTGCATTTCTGTCTTTTGTCGGGACGAATTAAAATTTTATTATTCGAGCGCGTGTTTGGAATCTCGAATAAGATATCGATTTTTGCTCAAACGCAAAGGTCGATACTTTTATATCGAAAACCTTCGAAACGAATGCGAAATGTAAAATAGATAATTAGATAGATATGAAGAAAATAAGAATTGCGAATCGAATATTGGTCCGTCTAATTCGAGCTGCATCTCCTGCAGATGCACTTTCTGCGACTCACCGAGATCTATTCATCTTTGCATTTCATTCGAAATGCAACTTTTATACATTTTGTTAATTTATCGGACATTGCGGAACCGATTACGGAGCGATAATAAATCACATTGACTCGGGGTCCCGAGTGTTCTAATCCCATAGGCATTTATCACAGCTATCCAGCGTTCGGTGCACTCTACCAGTCGACTGAGGTCGATTCTCAGAAATGTCTACGTGCGCGCACGTTTGAATGCGTTCAGGAACGAGTTTAAAAATTGTCGAATATTTCTCGTGAAGGTTCGCGGGGAGATGCCCCGTTCTTCGCGGTGGTATATGTGCCGTCAGGAGCGAAGGAAACGCGCGTACATTGGCCGCCCGTGCGCGTTTCTGCGAGAGCGTATGCACGCACAAAAAAGAGAGAGAAAGGGTTTTGGTCTCGCAGAGAAAGAGGGAGCTCGGGAGAAAAAGAGAGAGAACGGGAGAAAAAGAAAGATGAAGAAAAAGAGAGAGAGAGAAAGAAAGCGAAGAAAGAGGGGCGAAGGTTACGAGAGGGAAAAAGGCGGCGAGGGAAGAATTCGGCGAACATTATTCTCCCGCGGTATCTTTGGATAGATGGATCTCTGCGGCCCTTATATTATTTTTACCGAGAATTTTGTGTTCCACATTTGCTTTAATCAAATATAAAGTGCACTTTTAATGGATAGATTTTTATTGATAGATAAAAATATTACAAAGATTTACTAATATTAATAATTGCATCAATTTTTGATTAATTAAAGTATTCTAGTTATGAGATCTTTTTGAATGGAAAGAATGTTTTCTCCTAAACTTTGGTGAAAATCATCTCAGATAAATATAATCAATAAAAATAATTGATTTGTTTTCAATAATAAAATTCGACGAGACGTAAAATTTTTTTTAGATTTTAATTCAATAAAAATATTAAATGTAAATATTTAAAGATTGTATCTTTCTCTATTTCTTTCAAAAAATAAAAGACATTGATACTCATTTGTATTGCCTTGATCTTCGCCTTTGCTTCTAACAATGCCTACTTTGCCTTTTATACGTTTTGCTTATAATCTGCTAGAAAAAAAATGATTAAAAGATATGATGATAGAGTTAGAAGGTATATTGTGTGAGGTATTTTTGCAGTTTTAAAGAAAATCATATCGAATAAAAAATATTTGTACATGGTTGTTACCATTTGTATTATACTCGTATTTTAAGTAACTATTTTATACCTTGAAGAATATAATAAGAACACTATAATAAAAACATAATGATAATTACTTTTAAAAAATAAAAAATGATTAAAAATACATGTTAACAAATTTTAACAAATGTTTCTCCTTAAAAATGATTAAGGTTTAGAAATTTTTTTACTATAAAATCGCATTCAGAGCAATTTTATGCGCTTTCTCGCTTGATTATATAGTCATCTATCACAACTCCTGTTTCAATAACACTTATCAGTTGAGGAAAAAATTCCAAAAATTTTCTAATATTACAATAATAATAATTGCACCAATTTTTGATTAATTGAAATATTTCAATTATGAGATAAACTTCTTGAAAATACTAAAAAAAAATGTTTTCCACCAAATTTCAATAAAATTGAGAATTAAATGGGACATTTTCTCTGCTGGGACATTTTACCCTATTCGAATCGTTCTTCGATGAACCTCTCTGGATAAAAACTCTCTGGCAAATTTAATAATAATAAACGTCCGTGTCACCGGATATGCTCCCGGTTACGCGCCGTTGCATAACAGTCGGCATTACGGCGATTAATTTATCCTTTGGCAGTGTAATTACGCAACGCAGCTGCGTGCCGCTGCAGCGTTCGTTAGAACCTTTGGCTTTCGCGCTGCGAGAAATTATTGTTTGCACAAATTCATAATCCGCATAAAACCGTGTTGTCGCCGCCGTGTTTGCCGGGTCGAAGCTTCAAGTACATAATCGAGGAGTGCTCCTCGGCGGGCCAAGGTCTACGTACGTCGTAATATCGTATTAATCGGAGATGAATATTAAACGGCGAGAGCTCGTGTGAGTCTCTCGGTCGAATAAGGCGCGATTTCGACGCGAGAATAATTATGAGCGCCGAGAAGAAACTAAAATCACGACGACAGATAAACGAAATGTCGCGATCTTGAGATGCCTTGGGAAATAGAAAACCGATCGACACAAGCAATCTCGACGCAGAATTATTGACAAGTTAAATTAATTAGATCTCATCGAGTGCCATAGAACAATTTGCTTCAATAATTAATTTTATTGCAATGCATTAATTAATTTTAACACAGTGCCAAATTGGAAAATAACATTGCTCCAAGTTACGTGAAGCAATTTTCGTGAAGAAAATTAGATTTTATGAATATTTGTTCTCTGTTTATCATCACGAAAGAAAATATAAGAACGATAATATAAGGTTTTCTTCGCATAGAAACGGAATACCACCCACGCGTAGTTATCGATGGCACCACAAATGTAGCATATGACAAGGCGACGTGACAAGGCTTAAAGAGCAAATCTTAAAAAATATGAATACTTCGTGGACGACACGTAACCGAGATTCTCCCTCCCTCCTCGAATCCAGCGAGGCTTTGGAAACTCGAACCCTTTCATACGTAGTTCTTAAAGCCGCTCGGAGAAGGAGGGAGGGGGGAGTGCGAACAGTGGAGAGATGGAAGCCGAAACGACAATCCAAGAGGGACGCCGGAGGGGAGGGAATTTAAAATTTTCAAAAAGGCCCGAACCTGAAAAGATCCCGTATTTCAGGGTCGCCGGGGCTCTCTCCTTTTTTATCATTTAATCCGTGGGCCGAGCGAATAACCCTTTATACGAGCCACGAAGGTACCAAAAAACGGCTGCTGCCTCCATCGCGCGCTCACGTGTACCAGTTTCTCTCTCTCTCTCTTTCTTTCTCACTCCGTATATGTACTTATACGTGCACTTACGCTCACACACGCATGCGGAGGGGTAACGTAACCTACGAAACTGCGTGTTTGGATAATGCGTGGAGTGCCCGCTGCGCTCGCTGATTCGTCGTCTTAGCCGCGGCGACCCCCATTGAACGCTTTTTCTTCTCGAGAGGTTCTAAATACCGACGAAAAAAAGAAGAAATGCAGGCACGAAGTACCCCGTGCACGTCTCCGTCGCACTTTCCTCCTTCCCCTCCCCCCTTTCGCACGCAACCCTTTCTCAATGGTCCTCGTAGCGACATTGTTTCCGGAAAAATGGCTTCGCCAATGGAACCGTCGACCAGATGCCATTTAATAAGCCAGAATCGACGTTAGGGCACTCGATACTCGGAGTATTTCTGCCACATGGCGAGCGCAAGAGACTAAATTCCTCATCTTTATTTTGTTTCTGGTACGCGATAAATGTCACTCGCTCGAGATATATAACGAAACGTACATTTCAAATTACGACCGACAAAAATTGTAAATTTTTGTAGTAGAATTTAAAATATGTCGTACCTTTAATATACGTCATCATAAGTTTTGACATCCAGGTGAATAATAAGTAACGAGCTATATGTATCGCCGATATCGATCATTTTCATGAATAAAACTGTGTCGACTGTGCGAATGATGGATTTCTAGCGTTCGAATGTGTGCTAGAAATATATTGGCGCCAGCGTCAGCGGGGACTCGTATACAAAGGGACAGTGTGTAGGAGACGAGGGGTGGGACGAGGGTAGGCGAAGGGGAGAGAAAAGGAGAAAGTGAATGGAAAGAGACAGAAAGAGAGCGGCCGACGCTAAACTATTCTA